CCCCCCCCCCCCCCCGCCCCGCTTTAAAAAATTCTTCGCGTGTGCCCTCCACTTACAGCCCCAAACCCAGCATTTTTTTTGTTAAAGGGCTCAAACCCTGCCAAAGCTCGAAGCCCTGAGCCCCTGAACGGCTAAGAGCCCCGAAGCTCCAGGCCTATCTAGGTCCCTAATCAGCCCTGATCCTTGCAGACCCTACAAACCCCCGAAGCTCCAATGGGCTTTACCCCAGAAACCTAAACCAACAAGATCCTGAATGCTCTGGGCTCACGACGGATCTTTGACAGATTTTGTTGTATAGGGTTCATTGGGCCTCGTCAGTGGTGAGGCAGTGGGCACAAGGGGTTTCTTAGCCTTTCGGTTGAGTGCTTGGAGCCAAAATTACACCGGGCACTAAGGGAAACCTGAAATTCCCTGCCATCTAAGGTTTTCGGGACATGTCGGGTTGGGGGATCTTTCTGCACTACCTGTTCAGGCGATGCTCGCCGAGGATCCCATCATGCAAATCCATGCATGCGATGGTGTGAACTGCAAGTACAGGCATCGGCCCGGGCATTGGGTTTGGGGCTCAGGCCTTGTGGAGTTCAGGGTTCAGGGTGTGTCCTGCTTGTCGGGTTTGCAGGACTGGCAGATTAACCGGCCAGCGCTTGTTCGGATTCGGAATTTGTCCTCATCATAGATTTGCAGGTGTTGCGCTTTTATGCAAGACACGCCCAAAAGCAGCAGCAGGAATGCCCTGTCGTGTGTCACTTCGAACATTTGCCTGCGAGCTTTGGTTTCACTTATAGCTTATTGTCGCTTCAGTTTTCTTTCGCATGAGACTCATGAGACCAAAAGATGCAAAGGCTTGTGACTCAGGGGCTTTAGGGCTTCACGTGGAGGCATTTGCGGCGGCAGGCCCAGCACAGGAGCATGCTCAGGGCTCAAAGGCCAAAACGTGGTTCTACAACCTCGAATGGTGGCTTCCGGATTCCGAAATTAGGGTACTGGGGTCTTTATTATCAGGGGATCCTACTTTGGGGGCTCTATTTTAGGGGTCCCCTATTTTCGTAAACCCCCACATCAGTTTAGGATCGTCTTGGATTTGAGGTTTGGGGCGCACCTTCGGCAAGAACCCTGAAATCCTGCCAGGAAGGAGCTGGAAGCCGCGCAGGCTTTTTGGGAACAAAGCAAGGGCTTAGGGTTTAGGATTTAGGGTGTAGGGCTTAGGGTTAGGTTTCGGGCGGTTGGTGCTTAGAGGTTCGAGACTTCTTTTGGGGCGTTGCATAGGCGGGAGGTTCATCCGTCACCATACATCCCTGAGACTCCACATGCGCCTGCAGCCCATGTACGTGAGACACCCCTCCCTAAACCCAAGGCGAGGAAGCGGTTGTGGTGTGACCCAGAGAGCCCAATACCCCTATTAAGGAATGTGTTTAACTTATACAAGGGATCCTTCACATGGTTTAAGGATATCTAAGGCATATTCCTCGTTTTAAGGGGTATGGGGCCTTTTGGGGATGTTGAAGCTTAAAGGGCCCTGACAAGTACCACATGCGACTGGGTGGCAAGGGGTCAAAGTCCTAAACCCGCAAAGCCCTAAACCCTGAACCCTAAACCCTAAACCCTCAAACCCCGAAGCCCTGAACCCTAAATCCTTTAAACCTCAACCCCCCAAAGCCCTCAACCCTCACTAAACCCCACACCCCTTCGTCCCACGCCACATGCAACTACATTAGAACCTTCAGGTAATCCTAAACCCTAAACCCTAAATCCTAAACCCGAAATCCTAAACCCTAAGCCTAAACCCTAAATCCTAAACCCGAAGCTCTAAACCCTAAACCCTAAACTCTAAACCCCGAACCCTAAACCCTAAACCCTAAACCCTAAAGCCCTCTATAAACCCCAGGCGATGATCCAAGCGCTGCGAGGGCTGGGTAGCCAGCCACGTGGCGCTCAACATGTGGACGTTGGGATGTTCCCCCTCGTACTACGGGTTTAGGGTTTGGGGTTTAGGGTTTAGGGTTTAGGGTTTAGGGTTTGGGGTTTAGGGTTTAGGGTTTAGGGTTATAGGGATTATCGTACCCCTATTTTCACCCCTACAAAGGACTGTTGGTATAAGGGGGAACATCCCAATGTAGACTACTTAGGGCATTTGCGGGAGTTGGGTGTTAGGGATGTTCTTGGGCTTGGGTTTTTAAAGGTTCATGTTAAACCCAAAACCCAAAACTCTAAACCCTAAACCCTAAACCCTAAACCCTAAACCCTAGGTCGAAGACGACATGGCCACAATCAAAAGGAGTTACCCTGCAGCAAGGAGGTGGTCTGCCCCAAAGCCGCCAAAACTTGAGAAAGCTTTGGGAAAGCCCCCAACGCCCCTCCCCCCGTAAAGAAAGCCGCCCTGAACCCTGAACTCTTTTATGAACCCTAAACCCTAAACCCTAAACCCTAAACCCTAAACCCTAAACCCTAAACCCTAAACCCTAAACCCTAAACCCTAAACCCTAAACCCTAAACCCTAAACCCTAAACCCTAACCCCTAAAACCTAAACCCTAAACCCTAAACCCTAAACCCTAAACCCTAAACCCTAAACCCTAAACCCTAAACCCTAAACCCTAAACCCTAAACCCTAAACCAGCAGCCCGAAACCCTAAACCCTATAAAGCCTCAACCCCTAGGCAAGTAATCAAACTCAAGTCAAAGACCCAGCTGTAAGGATGGCCGACAAGCTCCAAGTTGCGACAGGCCGAGTGGGGTCCGGGATTTGTGGTGTCCCTAAACCCTGAACCCTAAACCCTAAATCCTAAACCCTAAACCCTAAACCCTACACCCCAAAACCCTTATGGGTTTGCTAGGCTTTAGAGTGCTTAGGCTTTGGGACATTTGGGGGGCTTGTAGGGTTTAGGGCTGGGGGCTTCGTTGTTTTTCTTTTTTTCGGCTTCTTCCTGTGCGGTTGAAAAGGTCTTGAGGATGTCCCCCGTGTCAGGCAGATGGTGGAGCACAAAAGTGGTCGTCATGAACGCAGTGTTGGCTGGGTATACAAAAGGGCGGAAAAGCCTGAAACCGGAAGGTTAGGGTTTAGTGTTTAGTGTTTAGTGTTTAGACTTTAGGGTTTGGGGTTTGGGGTTTAGGGTTTAGGGTTTAGGGTGCCAAGCCCCAAACGGGCATGGGAAAGATTGGACAGGATCTGCGGGGTTCTCACATCGATCAACGCAGGCGAGCACCTTCAGATGTCCATGGCGCTGACGACCATGCAGGGTTCCCTCGAGGCGGGGTTTAGGGTTTAGGGTTTAGGGTTTAGGGTTTAGGGTTTAGGGTTTAGGGTTTAGGGTTTAGGGTTTAGGGTTTAGGGTTTAGAGTTTAGGGACCTTTTCTGATTCTTCTCAACCCACGACATGGGGGTTTCCATAATGGGGGTACCTGTTTTAGGGGTCCCTTCAGGGTGATTCTGTTCTATTTGGGGTGCAAAAGTGGTACCCCTATTTTGGGAAATGCCCACATGCTCTACTTACTCTCCCTAAACCCCAATTCCCAAACCCTAAACCCTAAACCCTAAACCCTAAGCCCTAAGCCCTAAGCCCTAAGCCCTAAGCCCTAAGCCCTAAGCCCTAAGCCCTAAACCCTAAACCCTAAACCCTAAATCAATCTGTGCAAAGCCCTTTCAAGCCCAGCACCTCCAGCCCTGCGGATCACACAGAGGCAGCCGTCCAGGCCGTCGAGAGGGACGTGCATGACGTGGAGCAGGGCGAGCAGGCCAGGGTTTAGGGTTTAGGGTTTAGGGCTTGGGGTTTAGGGTTTAGGGCTTAGGGCTTAGGGTTTAGGGTTTAGGGTATAGGGTTTAGGGTTTAGGGTTGTTTACTCCACTTTGCCCTACTTGGAGAAAAAATGGTGCTTATTAACCATGCAATTAGAACTGCACTTATAACCCACTTATATGCCTCTTAAATGCCTCAATATGGTTACAAGTACAGTTTAGTTGATTAATAAGTACCATGAACCTCCAAGGAACCCATGTGAGGTCGGGGTGCCTTATTGGGGTGCTTGCGATAAGGGAGTCCTACTATTTGGGGGTCTCGCTTAGGGGTGCCCTATTTCGAAAACCCCCATAATAGCCCAAAGCCATTGAGGACTTGGGGGTTGGTTTAGGGTTTAGGGTTTAGGGGAAAACCCATGAATCCAGAAGTTAAAAAGAATTAAATCCTGATGTAATTGTTGCTTCTGGGTTGGGTTTTGACCTACCTCGACATACCTTATCCCTACAAAAACACAATTAACTCGTGATGTAATTGTGTTTCTTTGCGTTTGACTGGAAGAAAATTAAATCGCGAGTTAATGGTGTAGCAAAGACTTGTGCTAATTGGTACCTGTTTGCACCATTAAATCATGATTTAATTGCACTATTATTATTACTATTACTATTAGTCTTTTTATTACTATTACTATTAGCCTTATTATTCCTATTACGATTAGTCTGATTATTACTATTACTATTAGTCTTATTATTACTATTAATATTCGTATGATTACTACTATTACTATTACTATTCCTATGATTATTATGTTTACTACTATTATTATCCTTATTCTTCTTATTATTATTTTTCTTATTACTATTACTATTACTTACTCTTACTATTACGAATACTATTACTATTACTATCACTATTACTATTGCTATTGCTATTGCTTTTGCTTTTGCTATTGCTATTGCTATTGCTATTATTATTATTCTTCTTATTGTTACTACGATTATTATTATTACTATTATTATTATTCCAATTATTCTCATTATTACTATTACTATTACTATTACTATTACTATTACTATTCTTCTTCTTATTGTTACTACTATTATGATTATTCTTATTATTATTCATATTATTATCATTATTACTATTATTATTATTATTCTTATTATTACTATTATTATTACTATTACTATTATTATTATTATTACTATTATTATTATTACTATCATTATTACGATTATTATTACTATTATTATTACTATTACTTTAGGGGGAACAATTAAATCATGATTTAATTGTTGAAAGGTAGGGGGGAACAATTAAATCGTGATTTAATTGTTTCTGCGGGTTGGGATCGTCTAGCAGAAACAATTACATCCTGATTTAATTGTTTTCCTTGAGCAGCTTGCCGGCATGGCATGCTGCGTCGCGCGACGTTAACAGGCAATTAAATCGAGAGTTAATTGTGCTGGACCTAAGGGGCGTCGAGCCGGCCCGATGCCGGTCAATTAACTTCAGAGTTAATTTTCCTTAACTCTTGGATTCACTGTCTTCCGTTTAGGGTTTAGGGTTTAGGGTTTAGGGTTTGGGGTTTGGGGTTTGGGGTTTGGGGTTTGGGGTTTGGGGTTTGGGGTTTGGGGTTTGGGGTTTTTAATGTGGGGCGAGTGAGGTTTGGAACCCTGCAAGATCCGAAAAAGCCTGCGAGAGCCTCAGCTCCTTAAGGATGCGAGGTGGACAAGGGTTTAGGGTTTAGGGTTTAGGGTTAGAGACTTCTTCAATTCGCTCCTCTACCGAGTAGGCTTTTCTGCTAATAACCCCTGTGACGAACAAGCCATATGTAAGCCCTACGCACACCCTATACTCAATGTCTTTTTGTTTCTTCTTTTGCCTTGCTGTTCCTGCCCAGGGGAGTCCTAAGTTTGCAACAAGACTCCCAACCTCCTCAGCCTCAAGCTCTCCAATCTCGGGTTAAGGGCTTACTCTGGATAAGTTTATGTACTGCGGCTCTGTCATGCAACTTCACGCAACTCTAATGGTCTATGTATAGCTTCATGCAACTATATACCTATACATATATATATATATATACACATGCATACATATATCTAGAGCCTTGCGAAAGTTGACATAAGTGATTGTAAATGTATAACTTGCTGGTAGGGCAAGAATAGGCTCGGAAGGCCTAAACCCGAAAGCCGATGAGAATGCACCCTGATCCCGGGCAGGTGGACCTGCAGCGCACACTGGGCAGCTTCGCACAATTTCAGCTAGAGAACCTTTTGCAAAAACAAGCAATGCAGGGGCTTAAACTGATACTCAAGATCATTTTTAAGTATTTCTATCTACTTGCAACAGGCACTACCATGGAATCTTGCTTCTGTGAAGAATGCCCCGAGATGAGGACCGGATTCCTGAGCTTTTTTGCCCTTTGTGTAGCGCCTCCTTCTGAACCCCTTAAACGTCAAGATGTAGGCGGTCGGTCCTTTGCATGCCGACGACGCGTATGCCACATGTTCTTTTTTTACTGCGGGAGGGCTGACAAGGGGGAGGGGTCTGAGGCTCCTGGGCTGGAGCTCCTTGTAAAGGGTTGAATCGCAGAAAAGGTGGAACTGTAGCATTCGCGGAGAGATGCCTGCTCGGAGATTCTCAAGACAGCCTTTTTGGAGTGTCCTAACTACCATAAATGAGCCCCTCTCCCGAGCTTTCAGGCTTTGGCATGAGCCACCGAAAGCTAAGATGTTCTCAGCCTGGCTCGGGTTTAGGGTTTAGGGTTTAGGGTTTCGGGTTTGGGGTTTAGGGTTTCGGGTTTAGGGTTTAGGGTTTAGGGTTTAGTCATAAGGTTTAGGGTTTAGGGTGACGACATGTACAGATGTGGTTATATATGCCGCACCGCACCGCGCCGCCGCCCCGTTTCTTTTGTAGTACAAATAGCAGTGGTACTGCGGTTGTACGGCCGCGCTTTTAGCCCCCCCCCCCCCCTAATTTAAATTCGTTGTTTTGTAGTGCAAGTTGTAGTACTTCTATGGGTCTCTGTGGTTGTATGCGCCCGCCTTTGGGGTTCCCTCCCCTTCCCCTTTAACATCGTCCTTCTGTAGTACAAATGCAGTACTACTGTTGGATTCTGCGTTTGTACGCGCACGCTTTTCGCCCACCCCCCCATTCCGCTTTAGAATCGTCCCTTTGTAGTACAAATATGTAGTACTTCTATGGGTCTCTGCGGTTGCACGTGCATTAGGGTCCCCCCCGCCTGCCCCTTTAAAATCGTTCTTTTGTAGTACAAATGCAGTACTGCTACGGGGTTCTGCGGTACGTGGGCGTTTTGGGACCCGCCCCTCTTAATCCTTAAAAATGCTATGGGACTCTGCGGTTATACGCGCGTGCTGTAGACCTCGCAAAATTCGTGGGCGCGGAATTCCGCGCGCTTGGAAACTTCGCAAAACTTGTGGGCGCAGAATTCCCCGCGCTATCCCACACGCTCGAAAACCTCGCGAAACTCGCGGGCGCGGAATTCCACACGCTTGAAAACCTCGCAAATCTCGTGGGCGCGGAATGCCACACGCTTGAAAAACTCGCAGAACTTGTAAACAAAAAGAAGCAACACCCTTTTCTAAACACCGACCCTGTTGATAAACACCAAAGAGGCCTTTGGTGTTCTAGGCTAGCTACTGGGAGAGGGAGAGGGAGAGGGGGAGGGGTAGGGGGAGGGGGAGAGGGAGTGGACCCATCCCTACACTTCCAAATGCGTGGTTTTACAATGTGTTTTGTCAAAACGCCAAGTGCAACTTGGTGTTTGCCCAAATATGTATTCAGGGGTGGTATCTCAGAAATGTCGCTTTTTTTCACGGTCCTGTCATGCATCAATTCAATTCGGCTTGCGCGCTACCATTTTGCCGTGAAGAAGCTGCCTCGATGCCAGTTCGATACCATTGTTTGCTCAACGTACCATGAGGACAAGGGCGCCTCCAATCACACTGCTTCACGGTTTTCTCACTTTTTTTCAAGGTGTCCTTTAGGTTGTTTTAGTGTTTTCACGCCCCAAATTCGTTCTTTCACGGTTCTGTCACGGTTTTGCCCCTTGTTGCTATTGGGATGCTGCAACTACACCCTAGCGCGTGCTGCAGAAACGCTGCCGCCGGTGCAGGTAGTGACATAAGTTTCACCGCCAACGCTACACAGGTAAACGCGCGCAAGCTCAGAAAATCCCTGCAGCCCACCTAGAGTGAACAAGACCTTGAGACCGGTCCGTATGAAGCTAGTATTCATAGCCTCTATCAGAAGGGAACTAACTGTACGTCCTAAAGATAACTCACTGACCTCAATCTCCAGTCAAACAAAGATAGGTCCTCGGGAGCCTCGTATACATAAAGACCAAGAACAGGTGCATTGTCCACTAACGTAGGAAACTGCAATCTTGAACATCATGATTGAGCCTAGGAACTCTAAAATCCTAGACCTTAAAACTTAAAACCCGAAACTCAAAACCCTGTAAAGCCCTCAGCCCAAAAACTCCGTGCTTCAGGCAAGGTGAGCAAATCACTCCAAGAGTCCAAGCGCAGATCCGTATTTTGGAGGTGTGCTCCGTGGGGTTTAGGGTTTAGGGTTTAGGGTTTAGGGTTTAGGGTTTAGGGTTTAGGGTTGGGTGTGACCTTCTTTTCGAACTTTGCAACACCGAGTCCGAAGATGTTGCGTTGTTCAAGCCTTGTGGGCGTGCATGAGGGAGAGACGCCTTGTTGAGCCCTTTCTCTGGCAGGCTCTACCAGAACAGGAGTAGCAGCAAGCGCAGCCATCGGCAGCATCGGCAGCAGTTCAGGCAGTTCAGGTTTGAACCGAAGGTCTTCAGGCCTTGGACCGCATGGGTGGTTTAGGGTTTAGGGTTCAGGGTTCAGGGTTTAGGGTTTAGGGTTTAGGGTTTAGGGCAAGAATTCTTCTTCATGGCATGGAGTCTCCCTACAGTGGTTCATCGGGGCACTCGCGGGAAGATTGTTATGGTTGTTTGAGGGCAGGAAGTAGAGCGGGAGTTTAGGACGTAACCGAAGCTTAGCGTTGGAGTTGTGGGATGTGCTCCCCCAAATTGAGAAACCCCGCGTTTTCCCATTGTTTTTCCATGCAAACCCCTGCCCCTGCCCCGAACTTGCGCCTGACGATGGCTCCTCCGTGCACCACTTCGCCATGCTGGCGAGGGTCTCAAGACACCATGCTTCAAGTAAGGTTCAAGCACTGGAAACCCCGCATGCGCGTCCCAAGTGCCAAGGCAAACTGAAGCCCGCGGTCGCCGGGTGGATCTTCTGCAGCGGACGTACGAGCAACTCTACAAGCGCCCGGACTCCACATCCTCGGCTCGGCCAATTTAGGGTGCTCGTGTGGTAGAATCTTTCATCCGGGGCTGTTACCCGAAACAACCCTCAATCCCCAGAGTTAGGCTCCACAAATCTTTCACACCCCATGCTTTCATAAGATGAAAAGTGTCACATGGCCCTCCACAATCGGGCCGTAGCCGCCTTTCGCGGCTTTCGAGGCTACTCTGCATCCGAACCTTCACAGCTTCTGCGCCATATCACAGCAAACCCGAAACCCCAAACCCCAAGCCCCAAACCCTAAAACCCTAAACCCTAAACCCTAAACCCTAAACCCTAAACCCTAAACCCTAAACCCTAAACCCTAAACCCTAAACCCTAAACCCTAAACCCTAAAACCCTAAACCCTAAACCCCAAACCCTAAACCCTAAACCCCTAAGGGTGGAGGGCCCTCGAAGCCCTGTGGAGCTGATCATGGCGAAGCCTCTCAGTGCCGGCCCCCTTAGGCTGCAGATGTGGTCGCCACATCAGGGTTTAGGGTTTAGGGTTTAGGGTTTAGGGTTTAGGGTTTAGGGTTTAGGGTTTAGGGTTTAGGGTATAGGGTTTAGGGTTTACTGTAGGGGCCGATTGAGTTTTAGAGGGTTTAGGGTTTTAGGGTTTTAGGGTTTTAGGGTTTTCGGGTTTTCGGGTTTTCGGGTTTTCGGGTTTTAGGGTTTTAGGGTTTTAGGGTTGAGGGGGCCCAGCTATAATAATCCGGGGGCCGATTATCCCAGATGGGTTTGAGGAGGAGAAGCCCAGTTAGTTAGAATGGGTTGAGGGTCGAGGGTTTACAGGGGTCTACCTTCAAAAAGGACAAGTTTTTTTAGCTTGTTTTACAATACATGGGGAAGGGGATACTGTTGGTAAACATACAGGCTCCGGGAATAGTACGTGTGTAGGTGCAGAAGTGTCCTCGCTTTTTGGCCTTGGATAAACGCGTGTGGTCGCGGCGTGCGCTAACACTGTCTGGGGTCTACGCAACATGATGCAGCATGGTTTTGCCGCCACACGGCTTGGGGGTTTACAATGGCAGACGCCTACTGGGTAGGCTTTTTGGGATGATTATATTCAATGGTCCTTGTGTGCGTTTTTAGGTGCCCTGTATCTATAGAGGCCAACCCAGGCTAGGGCTTATGGTTAACGCCCCCGCTGTGACTACATGCCGCGGTCAACTGAGCTGGGAACGCACAACACCGAGTCATACAGCAAGTGCAGGCTTAGAATTCGGGTTTGCCGAGCCGATAGCAAAGCCCAAGCATCCCTAAACCCGAAGAGCCCTAAAGGCCCTAAACCCTAACTCTAAAAACCTAAACCCTAAAAACCCCAACAGCCCCAAGCCCCAAACCCCAAATCCCAAACCCCAACCCCAAACCCTAAACCCTAGCAGGGTGGACTCGGTGACGCCGCCGCCGCCCATGCCAGCTCTACCCGAGCGCCCGGCGGTTCGAAGCGATGCACGGAGGACGGGCTGAGGGAAACCCCAAGGCATGGCTAGCCGAAGGTTACTGTGCACTTTACTGAGACTGCGAAGACCACAATAGTCCCCAAGTTCCCCGAGCTCTCGTAAGCACGAAACCCTAAACCCTAAACCCCAAAAACCCAAAAACCCCAATTTCCGAAGCCCACCCTGACACAACAACTGGGCTGCCCGTCTGAGCGCGCTTGAGGAGTACACTGCCGGCCAGGAGCTTGGCAACCATTCTCTGGAGTGGTTACATGGGGCCAAGTGAAGTGTGGGAATTTTGGGCGCAGGCCCCCTTCAAGAGGTCTAAGGGTTCAGGGTTTAAGTTAAGACGTTTGGAGGGCACTAGATGCGGAATCCCGTTGCGCAAGAGCATCACTAAAGCAAAGCTTCGCAGGTTGTTTCGCTTGAGGTTCCCTTTACAGGCAGCTTTCGCAGTGGAACCCCTTTAAGCGCGGGATCCGCCAAGGGGGCGTCATAGAATCCAAGCTCAGCCCGCTAGGCTCTGCTTTCGGTTGTGTTCCCTCCAAGTGGCCGTTGTAAACAGTGGCCTTGTCCTGGGATAAGAGGTATATATCAGGCATCTGTGCAACTATATAAGGGGATTTCCGAAAACGGGGGTTCCCAGAAAGGGTACCCCCGTTTTTGCAAACGCCCATATGATGTTGAGTCATGTTCATTTCTGCAACCTTTTCTTGGGCCCTAAAGTACTTCCTGTACAGGGGCTTTGGAACCCTAGTATATACGAATCAGGTACATGGACCCTGAGGGTCAACCCTCAACTCTCTACCTAGACCCTAAACCCTAAACCCTGAGGCCGTGACCCCGCGCGTGGAGAAGCCCACGGAAAAGGTTGCGTCGTCCGAGCGACCGAAGGGAGCGACTCGCCAGAAGTTCACAAGGGGGGCATATGAAGCAATTGTAATAAAGGGGTCGGATATGGGGGTTTAGGGTTTAGGGCTTAGGGAATAGCTACTGATAATATTCCTTTATGGTCCCTTTGTAATGATGCCATAATGACCCCCAAAACCCTGTTCTAATAATTAAGGCTCCTACAGTAAGTGTACTTGTAACCCACTTCATAAGCCCCTTACGTGCCCTAAGATGGCTGCAAATACGGTTACATGGGGTGTTTAGGGTTTGGTTTTTGGAGTTTGAAGATCATTCCCTTTCGGCCGATTCCAAGCCAAAATAGCTTGTTTGGCAATTTTTGTGAGAAGCGAGGCTTACAAAGGAAGGCTTGCCGGGTTTTATGGGCTTGGGCTGATGAGGGCCCGATAGAGTTTAAAAGCAGGAGTGGGGTAGGGCGGCGGGGGAGTCTTAGGGCCTAGGGCTGAGGGCTTGTTATTCAGGGTTTGGGGTCTACAGGTTGAGGCTTGAAGCCATGGCTTTCCCGAGACTTTTCGGCTATAGCTTGGCAATCAGGAGACCTTTGGGCTGTAGCCTGGCTTGAACCTAAAGGCCCCGATGGTCCTCTCGCAGCAAGAGACGCTCGACATGATCCGGCCGATGCTGGAGAGGGAAGGGAAAGAGTATGAGAAGCACCAGCAGGTGATGATCCGTAAGGCGGTTGCAGGCGAGATGGTGGTGACCGTGGTCGGTGGGAAGGAGGAAACGAAAAACACCGCCGGGGAGGGCGACATGGTGGTCCGTGCGATGACCAAGGATGGCGAGGAGTACATCCTGAAGGAGGCCCAGTTCAAGAAGAATTACTTGGTCGACGACCCGGAGGACCTCCCGGACGACCACGAGCTCCAGTCGAAAGGCTTCAAGATGTATAAGCCGAACCGGCGCGTCATCGCGATCGAGGTTTCCGAAGCCTTGGCCACCAAGTTTGGCGGCTCCTTTATGGCTGCTTGGGGCCAGGAAATGGTGGTGACCGCCGGCGATTTCTTGGCTAGTGGCAACAAATCCGATGATGGAATTGTGCAAGAGATCATCCGCATAGAGAGGAACGCGTTTCTCGAAACCTACCGGACCTGCCGCGCGGCAAAGTAGCCCGAACCTAATGACATATGGGGGGTTTACGATATAAGGGGTTCGTTGTTGGGGTCCTTATGAAAGGGCGGATCCCATTATTTGAGGGCCTATATTGGGGTCCGTTCTTATCGCAAACCCCCCTGGTATGATTTTGGTGAGGGTGAGCTGGCACAGGCACTACGAGCTTGAAAAAGCGCACCGCCTGCTGTTGTCGAACTGTCCCAAAGAATGCTTTGGGCTTTTCTTTTCGAGTGAAGTTCGGAGTTTCGGAAGCACCTTCAGAACAATCCTTTCCAATAAACTGACGCCCTGAAACCCTTGAATCCCCAACGCTCCTAATTTCCTAAACGCCTCACCCCAAAATCCCAGCCCTTGCACCCTTGAGCACTAAACCATGAGTCCCCTCTGCTCATGTACCCGAAAATCCGAAACCCGAAAGCCTTACAGCCCTGAACTCTGGTTCCTGAACCCTACTGACCCTCAAAAGCTGAAGCCGAACCCCGTAACTCCTCAACCCCAAGCTCCAAGGTTTAGGGTTTAGGGTGGAGCATGCAAGCCATCCCTGGCGCTCCATTCTGCATGAGAAGTCTTCCTGCACCCTAGTTCGATCCTCGGGTAAGGGCCAGTTAGGGTTGAGGGTTGAGGGTTGAGGGTTGAGGGTTGAGGGTTGAGGGTTACGGGTTTAGGGTTCGGGTTTAGGGCTTAGGGCTTAGGGCTTAGGGCTTAGGGCTTAAGGCTTAGGGCTTAGGGCTTAGGGCTTAGGGCTTAGGGCTTTGGGCTTTGGGCTTTGGGCTTTGGGCTTTGGGTTTTGGGTTTTGGGTTTTGGGTTTTGGGTTTTGGGTTTAGGGTTTAGGGTTTATGGTTTATGGTTTAGGGTAGGGTTTTGGGTTTGGGTTTAGGGTTTAGGTTTTAGGGTTTAGGGTTTTGGGTTCTGGGTTCTGGGTTCTGGGTTCTGGGTTTTGGGTAGGGTTTACGGTTTAGGGTTTATGGTTTCGGGTAGGGTTTAGGGTTTAGGGTTTAGGGTTTAGGGTTTAGGGTTTAGGGTTTAGGGTTTAGGGTTTAGGGTTTAGGGTTTAGAGTTTTGGGCTTTGGGTTTTGGGTTTTGGGTGAGTCGGTGAGTCCTAAACCCTAAACCCTAAACCCTAAACCCCGCTGGGCGACACAGCACCATGCAATAGGGTTTGTGGTGTCACCCTAAACCTAAACCCTAAACCCTAAACCCTAAACCCTAAACCCTAAACCCTAAACCCTAAACCTTAAACCCTAAACCCTAAACCCTAAACCCAGGCGTATAGTGTGTTAGGGTGCCCACAAGAAGCAAAAGCCGACTGAGGCTGCCCTCATCGTCCTGGGGGCTGCTCCGAGGTTGCAGTTACGAGGGTTTAGGTTTTAGGGTTTAGGGTTTAGGGTTTAGGGTTTAGGGTTTAAGGAGGGCTTTCAATAGTGCCGAAGGTTTATGCCAGCCCTTGAAACTGCAGAGGTTGTGCGGGGGGGAGGGCGGGGGGGGGGGGGGGTGCCGCTGCACAAAGACAAACTAAGCTCCTACTGAGCCGTTTAGGGTTTAGTGTTTAGGGTTTAGGGTTTAGGGTATAGGGTTTAGGGAGGCTGCTCAGCAAACATGGCGTGGGTGTTTAGCGCGCTTCCAAGACAAGTCACTCAGGGCTACCAAGTCTTTGTCATAGTGGGGAAACATTTTACACTTTTCAGGGTACTTAAACACAATAAGGAATGGACATCTGATTGTTTATTACTATCCCATCCATGAACTAGAAGTGTTGGTTGTGCCACATCTCAGATCCTGATTCCCAAAGTCATAGGCCAAGACGCTATATCTCGAAGCTTCCCAAACGCGAAGCCACCCTAAACAGCGGCTACACTCCCCGAAGCCGATCCGAAGCCGGAACTTCCTAAGGGTTCTAAAGCCTTGAATCCTACACCCTAAACCCTGAACCCTAAACCCTAAACCCTCAACCCGAAACCCGAAACCCTAAACCCTAAACCCGAAGCCCGAAGCCCTCCCGAAACAAATCCGAAAATCATGGCTCAGGACTTTCCCAAGCCTCCGGCCACACCGGAGCCTCCCAGGACTGAAGTCTCCTGATAGAATTTTAGGGTTTAGGGTTTAGGGTTTGGGGTTTAGGGTTTGGGGTTTGGGGTTTAGGGTTTGGGGTTTGGGGTTTGGGGTTTAGAGTCAGCTAGGTCTCCTAAACAGTTGAAGACATGAACATGGGCCCTATTACACACGACGCTTGCGGCCCTTGGGCCCTGGGTGCCATAGAATCATGAGTTCGTGATCCTCTGACCTTCACACATGTTTGGGCGTTTAGGGTTTAGGGTTTAGGGTTTAGGTTTTAGGGTTTAGGGTTTAGGGTTTAGGGTTTAGGGTTTAGGGTTTAGGGCGTCGACTTTAACCCATCCTGGCCCCCTGAGTCCATACTGCAGGACCTGGAGCCAGCGTCGGCGAAGGCCCGACCAGACGTGAGCATGGTTTCAGGTTGTGAGGGCGTTGCAATGGTTTAGGGTTTAGGGCTTAGGCTTAGGGCTTAGGGCTCAGGGCTTGGGGCTGTGAGGGTGTTGCGACGGTGCTTTTCATGGGCAAGGCAAGCTATGTCCTCGGAGCTCTGCAACACAACGCCGCTTTGGGCTTCGCGTTGAGTGCGTAATCAGCCCAGCCTGGCTCGCATTGACGATTCTCTTTTGAAAGAGGGAATCTGGCTCCGCTTCCCACTCTTCGCAATTGTTATTCTGGTAGCTTCTCGGCAGTCTGTCGTTTTCAGAGGAATCTTGAAGCAGCTGTCCCGACCACATAGCAGACTATGAAGGCTTCAGCCGCTTCCGACATTCCGGCTTCAAGAGTCATACTACACGGCTCACTGGTGCCCTTACAATGCTTCAACAAGGGCTAAAACCCCTAACCCCATTTAAAAAGAAGCATGAGCCTCATTTTTCCACCGAAGTCCTCCTTGAAGCGCCGCACAGGTAGCAGCTTACCGTGCTTTGCCCCTCAGGCTGATTAGCTTGAAATCAAGAGTTGGTCGTTCAAAGGTGCCTTTTTTTGGGGGGGGTGGGGGGGGGGGTCTCTGCTGGCTGTGGCTTACCCATGGTGTCTCTTCGTGTTTCCCATTGACATCAACCAAGGCGAGCGAATTTGAGCAAGGTCTTGTTCGGGCACCTGCAACAGCGGCATCCCTCTTTGGCGAGATGTCGAAGCGAATGACTCGATGAACCGGTGGCTTTGGCCTGGTTTGGTGCACCGTGTAGCGCGTGGCCTCCTTTGCTTGCTGGGTTGAGTCAGGGATGGGCCGGGGGGACCGCGCACTTACAGATACACTTCTCGCTCGCTCGTCGGTGCTGTCGCCTCTTTTGCAACTGACGAGACTGGAAGAGTGATAGCGAGACCTTGCATAGTGATCATGCTAGTTGCAGTGGCGCGCAGTAAAGCAGTCTTCAGCATCAGCTGTGGGACAGAACATGACAGAACCATGAAAACCATGTCAACCATGTCATTCTTGACGGCTGAGTCTGTTTGAGTCTGCCTTAAGGAGAAGCCCGCTGCGTGTGTGGACAGACGGGGTCCTTTGGCAGTGAGAGCGGCAGGGGCATCGCGGCGCTCGTTAAAGGGCAACAAGCGAATAGCAAACCTATTAAGAACCATGAGGGCTGAGGCCTAACGTGAAGAACAAGCATTCCAAGAGCTTGGCAGTTTGCAAGGTTTCGGAAAACACATCCCAAAAGCCGTGGTGCCCCTGGCTGGCCTGTTGTACAGTTCACCGTGGGCCAGTGTTTCCGGTGCAGTTTCGAGTCAGGTTCCGAATCGCGCTGCTTGAGTTGGCCGGCACGAAGCAATCCTCTAAGCCATCATAGCCCTTAGCTCACCTCAATCCGACACAAACTGCTCACAACACTAGCGACATCCATGTTCACTTCATGCAGCGGCTCAGTTTAATTGGGCTTGCTATCTATGCACAATGTCGAAGATCTGTGTGAGTGCTGCATCAACTCAGCAAATCTCAGCTTGTGCTGGCCGCGACTCTGCCGAAATGGCGGCAGTGCGCGAGCGGAGGGATGGGGCAGCTTTTCTCGGATCGGCATGCAAATCCTCAGAGCTAAAACGTCACGACAGCGAGGATCCATGAAGCCCTGAAAAGAAAGGCTCGTACCCTGCAAAGAAAGGCTCGTACACATGCCCCCCGCTCTGATTTTAGACGGTAGCATCCGGATCGCGGCGCAGTTCGCCAAAGAGAGGCGTTGCCGCAGTGTTTAATGCAGGCTTGTGGACGTGCTGGAGATTTGAGGGTTTCCGCCTCAAGCCCCGATGCCTTAAAACCGCTCCTTTGATCTCTAGATCCTATAAACCTTATAAACCCTAAAGGCCCTAGAACCGCTGTAAACCCACAAATCTTATAAACCCTATAACCCCCTTAGAGCCCCTTAAAAAGCCCTGATGAAACCCTATGAACCCTGTTAAGTGTCCCTCCCTGCTTTGTCGATGCCGCTGCGGTACGGGCCTCGTGTTTTTGGCAATCTTGGAAGAACGACGGTTTTAGGGTTTAGGGTTTCGGATTTAGGGCTTAGGGTTTTCAAAGCCTGCAGGCAGATGGATGGAGAGGTGCCAGAATGGAAAGCTTGAAATCACCGATCTTTCATCAGTAGGTGAAGCAGAGATCGCCACCGGCTGAGGATGCCGTCGCCCTAGGGCGCAAAAAAAAGAAGCCCTCAGATTCTCTTTGCACATACCTGTCCGTCGTCCAACAGGCGTGACGGAGAACCACATCAGATCCTGGAAGACCAGTCGCGGCTGGTGTCGGGTCTTTGGGCTGTCGGGCCCTTGCTCAGAAACTGGGCTTCCAGGCGCCAGCTGCAAAGCAGCCGTCACGCGACTTCCGCCGCGCCAAGACGAAGAATCAGGTGGAGAAATGCCGGGTGGGCGGCCTGAATCCCCCCCCCCCTGTGCCCCTGAGTGAGGGGCCCATGGGTGAAGGCTGGGGCCCCGGAGGTTCGCTCGGTGGCTTTGGGTTGGGCCTCGTTGGGGTTCGTTGCGTGGGGCTTATGAAAGTAGGGATGTTTGCTGAACATCTCGTCTGCCTTGTCTTTGATACCTACGTGCAACATCGACTCTTGCAGTCTAAACCTGCATCCCAACACCGAGGGCCGGGACATTTTCCAGACAAGAGACCCCAAACCCCTCACAGCTTGGGATGCTCCCCCTTATACTAACAGTCCTTAGTAGGAATTCTCCTACCCCCTTTAGTAGAATCCCATATAGTCCCTATTAAGGACTCTTAGTGTTAGTAGCTGTTAGTAGGAGGGCTGAAGATCCCAACTCACAGCCTTTTGCCGTAAGGAAGCTTGGAAACTTCCCATCTGTGGGGGCCCTCCTGGCATGCGGAGTGGTCCGGGGCCCACCGTGCCACCCTCTAAGAAAACTTGTTTTGGGGGTTGAGCAGGGATATGTCATGTTACATGTCACATGGGATTCAGTTGGGTGACCCTGAAGGCAAAAGGACACTTGCTTTTGGGGGAGTTCAGGGGGAGACCGGTGCCTAAGGCTTTTTGGGTTTCGAGGGCTTGGGGCTGTTGAGGGGTTGCTGCCGGGGTTTCTGGAATAAACTCGCATGAGAAGGGTTTAGGGTTTAGGATTTAGGGTCTAGGGTGCGGCTGTGAGAAGGAGGCGCCAAAGCCCCTTCTTTTCCCCCTTTTACCTTCCTTCTACCCCCGTATACCCGCCTTGTTCGCCCCTTACAGCCCCCTTCTACCCCCTGTCCCTAGAATTCAGCCCTCCCCAAGTCCAACAAAGTCCTCCGCCCCAAGCCCTAAACCCTAAACCCTAAACCCTGAACCCTAAACCCTAAACCCTAAACCCTAAACTATTCTTACTTGAGGCCCTGTTTTGTGGAGTCCTGTGAGTTCAAAGGTCCCTGCAGGGCTGCACGATGCTGTCAATCAGGCCAGTCTCCCTTTTTTGAGGAGGGGGGGGGGAAGGGTTAGGTCTAGAGTTTAGGGTTTACGGTTCAGGGTTCATGTAGGGTTTAGGGTTTAGGGTTTAGGGTTTAGGGGTTAGGTTTAGGGTTTAGGGTTTAGGGTTTAGGGTTTCGGGTGATGTTTTGGGGGTTCGGGGGCTGTTGGAGTGGAGGGCCTACAGGGTTTGTGGGGTCTGCCCTCTTTATGCCTTCTGAACCTCATGCCTCAACCAGATGCAGAGTTAGAAGTCGCGGCGAGTTTTAAGAGCTCTACGCTAAACGCGACAGCTGAACCCCTCAACCCCGAAACCCCTAAACGCAAACCAACCCTAAACCTTAAACCCTAAGCTCTGATTCAGCAGGGGAGTGTAGAAGGAGCTGAAGCTGCTGAAGCTCCGACGCCCCGTCCCTGCAAGCCCCTTCATGACCGAAGCACCCGCCCCTGTAAACCCCATAGCCCTACAACCCTAAAACCCTGCCGGACGTGTGGCCTGCCTCTGCAACTCAGCACGAAGTTCTGGTGCAGTAAACCCTAAACCCTAAACCCTAAACAAGACTATGTTTCCCCGAAACCCCAGAGCCCTGCATCGCTGCCGCCTTGGGACTCAAGCACCACCGGGGGAAAGCCCCAAGACGTAGCAGTCCGCCCCCCCTTTGGGCACGCGGCGTTTCTGAAATCCCCAAAGTCGGCATCTCTGGGGGGGCTGAGGAGCTGTTGAGGGGGTTTTCAACCTCATGGTTTAGAGGGGTTTGCAGCTTAGGGTTATGCTTCTATGCCGAACCCCAAACCCTGAATCCTTGAACCTGGCTCCAAGACCCCAAGAGAGCCTGAAGATTGCAGCCATCACATGTGCGCAGCGACTTTATCTCTTGGAAGAGCATCCCAAACGCTTTGGAGGTTTGGGAACAATCTTCCTTGAGGACCACATGACCCCAACAATTGGGGTCATATCCCCTATACGACTATCATCCTTCCTAGGTCCCTAACCCTAAACCCTAAACCCTAAACCCTAAACCCTAAACCCTACACCGTAAACCCTAAACCCTAAACCCTAAGGGATGTGGACCATAAACTTGTTTAGGGTTCATGGTGGTCCCCAAGGTTCTGATCCAGGCGCTTGTGGGCGCCCACCCGGAGATCGCCCCAGCACCGTTTAGGGTTTAGGGTTTAGGGTTTCGGGTTTCGGGTGTCGGGTTTCGGGTTGACCAGACCACTCCCCAGGAAGTGGCAAAACACAACATGGAGACAGGGCATCTGGCATCTGAAACCCATAGCCCTAAGCAAGACCCAAAGCCCGATCGACCGCCCTAAACCTTCAACTCCCCCTTAAGCCCTCCACCCTACCTGATACACCCGAATTTTGCACCCTATAAAAACCCTCTTTAGACCCCATTGAAACCTTACAAGCCCTTCAAGAACGCTTGTTAAAAACCCCCCTTGAAACCCCTCCTAAACTTTCCAACTGGAGGTCCAAGAACACCAGTAAAACCCTTGAAGCTCTCTAAAAACCCTAAACCCTAAACCCTAAACCCTAAACCCGAAACCCGAAACCCGAAACCCCAAACCCCAAACCCGAGGCCCGGTATGGGCAGTTGCGAGTCCTTCTTCTTCGGGCCGGAGCCCGCCGCAGTGGAGGGAGCGCACCTCGGCTGCAGACAGTAGGACCAAGGGTTTTGGGTTTAGGGTTTTGGGTTTTGGGTTTAGGGCTTAGGGTTTAGGACCAGTACCTTAAGGGAGTTTACGAAAGTAGGGGATCCCTAATAGGGTTTAGGGTTTAGGATTTTAGGGTTTGTAGGATCTCCTTATAAAGAGGACCCCATAAAGGTAGCCCTATTCTCGGATAAACCCCCTTTTGAACCCCAAAAGTGGGGTCATATGCCCTACACTACGTACCGCAAACCTTTTTTTAAGGGATATGGACCATTAAACCCCTCTAGGGTTCATTGGTCCCCAAGATAGGGCCGGTTGGCTTCAACTGTGGCTTCAGACCAGACGAGAAGCCCCCAAGCCCAGCTTTCGCCCTGATCCTTTCTTCACACGTCCTCGTGGCCTTGATTAGGCTTGATTGGGCTGGGACTCCGGTCCCAAAACCCCGAAAACCCTAAACCCTAAAAACCCTACCCAAACACGTGAAACCAAACCCAGGAACGGTCAGATTACGAAAGGCTTGCGTGTGCCTCTTGGCACTGCATTATTTGCCTCCCGGGCTGTTGAGTTTCGGCTGCTTCGGAGGCTACACGACTATTATTCCTTAGTAAGGGTAATACGGGGATTAATGGGGTTCTTCAGCAACTGTTGCAGGGGTTCAGTCTGGTCTTCGGGGGCTTGCGAGCAGGGGGGGCGTAAAGGGGGTACAGACATCCAGGCACTGGGACTTCCAGCGTTACTCCGAGGATGTAGGGTGGATGCGGGACAGTTGGCCAGTATGGGTTTCAGGGGTGGTTTGGAAGTCAGAGTTTTGGAGTCTCGAACTTGACCCCAGGCAGACTCAGTACACCATCGAAGAAGGTGGCGACGGCCGATGGTACATGGGAACCGTGAAAAGGCCCACAAGCTGTGAGGGTTCGTTGTCTATTTCAGACGCCTCTTAAGCTCGAGGAGGTCGGTCTGGCGGGGCATGTTGCCTTTTGCTTGAGGGGCCCACCTACTGCTTAATGCCCTACTGGGGTTTTAGTGAGGTCTGCTGCGAATTCGGCTTCAAGACGATGTCTCAAACTTCACGGCTTCAAAATGTGGAGTGGGCGGAGGATGGCAGGCATATGTTCCTGTAAGCGTTTAAATGTTTGCAGGACTGAGGATGTATAGGGCAGTTTGCAGCGAATTCCTCGCGGTTAGAGGAGACGGGCAAGCCCCGCCCACCCGGTCCTGACAGGCTATATGCTGGCAATAAGTGCGCCATTCGCTATGATGACGGTGTCTTGGCCGCTTCATGCATTGCTGAGTTCTTGGAGTCATCAGGGGTAGTCCTTGTATATATCTTTCTCTCTCTCTCTCTCTATGTATATGTATATTTTTCTTATTTGTTTATTTATTTCTGTACGTACTTATGTGTTATTTTTGGGTTTAGGGTTTAGGATTCAGGGTTTAGCGTTTAGGTTTTGGGGAACGGGTTTAGTCTACATCCACGTAATTGTTTTTAATATACATATATATATATATATGTATTTTACTACATGTACTGAATATCTACGTATACTGAATATCCTAAACATTCCATGCAACTCTCCCCCATCTGTCAGGTTTTCTTCCATGAACCCTTGACGTCGCATTGGAGCCCTCATCATGCTGCACGGATTAGCTGCTACACCCCAACTCCATCGTGAAGCCCCAAAACCCCGAGAAAACCCCCTGAGCTCGAAAAAGCCTCAAACTCATCCTGGCATCCCTACCCCCCCCCCTCCCGAAAACCCAAAACCTGAACCAAAAAACCCTTTAAACTCATGAAGAGGTGACAGCTGGACCGGGAATGCCCGGGACGTCTGGTCCCTGAACGGACCGCCCCCAGCCACACGGCAACAGCAGAGGGGGCCGGGGGGGGGGGAGGGGGGAGGGTGAATCCTTGGGACCCAAGGAGCCCTCAAAGGGTTTTTAGGTCCGTATCCCTTCTTCTCTAGTGTAGGGTATGTGGCCCCCCAATTTTCGGGCTCAGCTGGTTCTCAAGGATAGCACACACATGAAATGTTTTTTTTTTTTTTTTGCAACAGGTCAGTGTGTACATGTTTCCTCATTGTTTTTTTTGGGGTGTCGTCCACGGGGATCCCTGCAATAGCAGCCCTACTTCACTGGAATCCCAGAAGCCCACAATGCCAAAAAGAAGCCTCTAGCCCTAACCCCCAAACCTTAAACCCGAAACCCTAAACCCTAAACCCCAAACCCTAAACCCTAAACCCTAAACCCTATGCCGCACACACTAAGGGCGCACCACCGCCGGGCATGCAGATGGGCGTACCAATGGGCATGCCTGTGGTGCAAGGCACATTGGGTTTTGGGGTTGGGCTTGGGGGTTTAGGGTTTAGGGTTTAGGGTTTAGGGTTTAGGGTTTAGGGTTTAGGGTTTAGGGTTTAGGGTTTAGGGTTGGGTCGACTCCAGATGTGGATCGTAGAAGAGATGGCCTAGGGTTTTCCACGCATGTTTTCAGGGCACAAATGTAGCATGCTGCCACAATCTTGTCTTCGGTAGGGTCGGCCGATTTCGATTTGAGACGCAAGATGGCTCGGAGGTCGGAGTAGAGGATGTTCCATCGCGCTGGGTTTTAAGCTTGCTTATGAGGCTGCAGATGGTATGAGTGCTGGCTGAGGGTTGAGGGCTTAGGATGCTTTAGGGTTTCAGCCAGCGTTGCAAGGGCAGGTGGCTTCGGCTTTTGAGATTTCGCGTCCTAAGTCACAACAAAGACGTTCATGCCTTCATTCAATATCTTGCAAGTCTACATACTGTAAGGCCCGGAAGCCCTTCAATTGCGACGCCAGGTGTTCCTCTGCAAGGGTGATGGCCGAGGGGGGCATTCTGTCAGGGACACCTGAGGGGCATCCTGTAGAATGGTCTACTCACGGCGGCCGTGCTGTGTGGCAAGTTGGATGGAGTGGTGCCTAAAGTGGCAACCTTCACCCATTCAACAGGGACACGCCCACTAGACAGTCTGAAATCCAAAGCCCATAAGCCATAAAACCCAACCCCTAAGCTCTAATTGATTCATGGCTCCAGATCCTATACCTAAAGCCCTTAGGCCACATCCTTTGTTTGTGAGATTATACACTTCCCGGCGCCTTAGCACATAGATGCCCACGCATCTTAGAGGGATTCGGTTCTATTGATTTCTTGAATGCCTGCCCCTGTACCCTCGACTCAGCGTCAGACTTTCTTCTCTTGCAAGCCTGCAAGTGTTTTGGGGAAAGGCTTTAGGGCTTACACGTTTTCAAGGGTGTATTTAAGTGGGTGCTCTGAAGTGTTGGGGAAGTGAGGACCTCACCCGCCCCCCTGAATCCTCCAAGGCCCACACTGAGCCCAGAAAAGGAAGAGGAACCATCCTGTTCGAGCAAGAAAAGGCACGCATCGCGGCGCCCATGCACAGCCTGATCCCCCTTTGAAGAGAGCCGACGTGTGCTGTAGATGGGCAGTCCTCTAAATTAGGGTTCCATTTTGGGTACTCTTAGCAAGAGGGGCCGCAGGGGCCGCCTTATAATAGGGACCTAAACGGGACCAGACTTTAGAGACATGAACATATGGAATATGAGGAACCTTGTCTTGGGTATGTCTCAGGAGGATGTAGGTAGTGTCTGCTGTTCGATGCTCCTCCCGGGGGGTCCAAGAGCGCCAAAGGCGCGCGACGACCTGAATCATGTCAGCCGGCAGCCGGGCAAGGTAGGCATATTTAAGCTAATGGGAGCTCTATAAGTCTAAGCCATTTCAGGATCAGGATAGGTCTATGGGAGGAAGGCACCCTGTTTTTCGCCATTGGTCGCAGTGCGGGGAGTGCCGCAAGTATTTGGATTTCATGTAAATTGTCTGTCTAGCGGCTAGCTAGCTTAGATGTTGCTCGGAGTAAGTGACCAGCTTGGTGTGTTTACGGCAAGGTTTACGGCTTTGGGATCTTGTTTCTGAGGTGCTCCCCAGGCAGCGGCGATTCGCACTCCTGACCTCGAGAAGGAACCCTGAGAACCCTGAAAGATCCGAAAAAACACCGACCTTCAACTGTAAGCTCCATACCCCCAAGAGACCCAAAGCCCGTCTGTCTCACGGCTCCCCGAACCCCCTGCCATGACTCTGGTGAGGTGGAAGAGGCGCAAGCAAAAACGGCACAACCTCCCTATGCTCCGGGCCTTCGGTGCTGGGGTTTCATAGTTAGTGCCTGTTTCAACATACCCCAGAGGCCCCCATCTCCCTCTCCTTGGTAGCCCACTGGTACCCTTTACCCCTTTTCTTGGGTTCTGGGTTCCCGTATGAAGTAGCCAACCAAAAAAAGGTGCCCTTATCATAATATGGTTACTAGGCTACGAAGTCTCCCATACCTACTAAAGAAGCCTGTGAACCCTCTGAACCCAGAGCTGGGGAGGGTGTGCTCGACATCATGGACGCCCTGATCATCGCCAAGGCGAACCCCTTCGTCAAGGAGCCGCTTGTGAAGCCACTTTCAGCAGTGCAGAAAAAAGAAGCCTTGAGGCCTGTAAACCTTATAGCCCAAAACGCCTTCCGACACGCTCATACCCCAAAAGGGCCCAGCTGCACTCTTCCGGATTTGGGGGCGCGCTTTCGACCGCAGGTCCTTGAGACAGACACCATAGCCCTGTGCTGCCCTAGAGCCTAAACCCTGAACCCTAAACCTTAAACCCCCGCTCTCGGAACTCGTTGCTTGCTGGACTCGAGTTGCACTCAAAGGGTGGGGGTCATTACACGTTTCGCGTCGCAGGACTGGCCCCTCATGCTTTTAGGTCTCAGAGTTTGCTAGGTTTAGGGTTTAGGGTTTCGGGGATAGGGTTTAGGGCTTAGGGCTTAGGGCTTACAAGGGCTTACATTTCACTCAAGTCTCTGCTGGGAGTCGGAGAAGAAGCCTACATGATGCAGTGTTGTATCAAGGGCCTTGAAGCATGAAGGGCCCATAAAGCCGAGCTGATCGGGTTTAGCGTTTAAGGCTCGGGGCTTGAGGCTTTGAACTTATACCAGGAGTCTTGGGAATCTCTGAGTGCAGATTGAACCCACTTTGAACTTATGGACATGGAACCCACGCTTAAAGTTCACCCTGAACCCTAAACCTCTACCCCTATACGCTACAACGCCCTAAACCGTAAACCCTAAAAACCTTCATGCCAATCCTAAACCCCAAGCCCCAAGCCCCAAAAGGCCTCAAGATTCAACAGCTGGCCACCAAAGCGGAGGACACGGAGGGCTACACGGTGATGGACCTGGCGCTTGCCAGTGGCGACGAGGATCTGAGGGTTCTATAGCTTCCAGCAAGCCCAAAGCCCAAAGCCCTAAACCCTAAACCCTAAACCCTAAACCCTGAACCCTAAACCCTAAACCCTAAACCCTAAGCCCTTTCTTAGTAGCTGAGTAGGTATCCTTTAACCTTTTGGGGTAGGTAGAATCCTACCAGAATCGAAGGGCGAACCTTGTTCTGGCCGTACTCATTCAGGAGCATCCCTAAAACCCTAAACTTGGCCCTAAACCCGAAACCCTAAACCCTAAACTGTCCTGAACTACGCGCCTGTGCGTTTCTAGGCCTCGGCGTTGGGTCTTAGGTCTCTAGTGTGACACTGGAATACGGAGGCCGCCTGGCGGAAAGTGAAAGCGGCTTGAAGGGGCGCCTTGGGTTTGGGGGTTAAGGCTTAATAGAGGCGTCTAAATAATTAGAAAAGGACTTTGGGGGGCTAAGGGAATACCATTCGTATGTATTCCGACCCCTACACTAGGCGTTCTTAGGGGTTTAGCGATTCGGGGCGGAGGGTAGTGTTTCCTCACTGCTCCGGCTTCATCTGCTCTTTCTCCGTCTAAAATACCCTAAACCCTAAAATTGCCCCCCCCCCCCCCCCCCCCCCCCCCCCCGCCCAGCTTCGGATGCTCAGGGCCTTGTTGCAACCTCCTTCCGTGTTTCGGTTCTTTTTTGGTGTTTAGGGTTTACGGTTAGCACTAGAAGTCCCTGAGCCTGAATGTGTTGAGGGTCACTGCCTTGTGTTCAGGCAAGTTTCGCCTGTGTGGCTTGGGGTTGCTTGGGGCTTCTGGGGGTTTAGGGTTCAGGGTTCAGGGTTTAGGGTTTAGGGTTTAGGGTTTAGGGCTTAGGGCTTAGGGTTTAGGGTTTAGGGCTTAGGGTTTAGGGTTTAGGGTGTAGACCTCCTACCACGTCTTCGGAAGGAGGTGATCGACACCATCCGAAACTTTGTTGGCGACCTCCGGAGACAAGATCACCCTCACCTGAGGTCGGCCTACTGCGAAGGTTTAATAGCCTTTATGGGGGGGTTTAGGGTTTAGGGTTTTAGGGTTTTAGGGTTTTAGGGTTTTAGGGTTTTAGGGTTTTAGGGTTTTAGGGTTTTAGGGTTTTAGGGTTTTAGGGATTAGGGGCCATCTGCTTGAAGGTTCCATGGTAGGTATAGGTAGGGTCCTATGGCGACAGGGAAGTATGGTGGAGGCTTTAAAGATTTCTCGACAGCCTCAACAACGTTCGAGTGTAAATACCGAGAGCTCTCTAACATGATGCAGAACATGATGCAGAAGAACAGGTGTGGGGTGCAGTGCTTCGCGTTTAGGGCGTGTGTCAGTGCGCACGTGCGCGCGGGGAGTGCGTTGTTTTTCGCACGCACGCATAGCTTTGCGGCCCACCCCCCACCCCAACTAGTCTCTTCTAGGTTGAGGGTTCTACTCCCCGCCAATTTTTTCAGCAAGGGGGCTGTTTTGGTTTTGGGTTTTTTGGAGGTCTGAGTCTGAAAAAACTCCTCTGCAGAGGCCAAGGAGGGGCGCGTGCCACGGGGTCCCAGAAAAGTCCCGGGCCCCAGTAGCGAACTGCGAACCGCGATCATGTATGGGCCTTTTCTGGTTTCAAACATAGTTGAACATGATGACATTCTACACGTTTTTCAGAGTCGGACAAGATCCTTCGAGATCTCGTTACATGTTGAAAGAAGCCCAGGAGTGTGGGATGCTTCGGCCATCTACTATCCACCGCTCGCGCTAGCGAGCTCTCAGAACATGAATATGGATTGGTGTAAAACAAGTCATCGGACTTGACATTTGGTTCGGAGGCTTAAGGCCCAACACCTTCACACAATTCCTTGCCGTAGCTTCTTGAGTGGCAAAACCAAAAATGCGCACTCGTGATGGCTTTGTGTGTTTTGCTTTCCCTGGACGGAGATTGAGAATGACGTACATGTATTATAGAAACGAGAGTTTCGTTTTTGTGGTGAACGCCTCAGAGAGTTTTCATGGTGTTGTGCCGCAGGCGCCGAGGCCCTGAAATCTGAAAGGATTACTGGCTTTACTTCAAAAAACCCTTCAAGCCCGAAACCTTCAGTCCTAAATGCCGCGAAGTTCCCGAAACTTCTAAACCACCCGGAGGATGATGGAAGAAAACATGATCGATGAGGCCGGCCTCGCCCGAGCTCCCGCAACCCCACACCCTAAGGTGTTTGGGGGTTTAGGGTTTAGGGTTTGGGTTTTAGGGTTTAGGGTCTAGGGTCTAGGGTTTAGGGTTTAGGGTTTAGGGTTTAGGGTTTAGGGTTTGGGTTTTCGGGTTTTAGAGTTTAGGGTTTAGGGTTTAGGGTTTGGGGTACAGTGGAGTTGACACTTTAGTGATGATGGGCTTCTATGCTGAGCCTTCAGTCTATATAAACCCATATCCGTCCCAGCTCTGAATTCGGAGGATCCTGCTTAACAACCTGAAGCGCCACCGGGGCCTAGAATTCCCTCACCCACACCTCAAAATCTTAATCGCCGAAAACGCAGTGAAAATCCAGCACTTCCCCGGCGTGCACCCCAAGGCCCCAAAAGCCCTAGAAAGCTGATAAGGAAGCCCTAAACCCTGAACCACTTCACTGACTACCCTTCTACCTTTTCAAAAAGCATACCAGTCAATTCCACTCTGTTTGTGTACCCTAAACCCTAAACCCTAAACCCTAAACCCTAAACCCTAAACCCTAAACCCCAAACCCGGGCCAAAAACTCGACGAGTCCAGGACGACACCGAGGCAAAGCAGCGGCGGGAGTTCCTGGAGCCTGAGGAGCAGGAGGCCGGGAGGAATCGCCCCCTTAGGAAGGAGTTGTTTAGGGTTTAGGGTTTAGGGTATAGGGTTTAGGGTTTGGGTTTTGGGTTTTGGGTTTTGCGTTTTGGGTTTTGGGTTTTGGGTTTTGGGTTTGGGTTTAGCTATAGGGGCCTCAATAATTAGAATAGCTTGTTTTTTTTTTGGGGGGGGGGGGGGGGGGGGTCTTATAGTATAATTCTATAGGGGCCATAAGCTTGGTCTTCGTCCGACCCGCATGCTTTAGCCCCCTCAGGAGCCAGTAGGTTCTAAGGGGAGTATAGGGAGAAAGAGCATCAAAGGAAGGGCTCTCAAGGTTTCAGGGCTTTGGGTTTCGGGTGCATTTTGGGTGCGAGAGTATATGGTTTTTTGCCGGTCTTGACGTGTATTTGGGCTTCCTGCTCTCGGGGGCTCGGTGCTTTGGGTGTTTAGTCTTAGGATCCCAAACGCCCCAGCCTCAGACACCAGTTCTGAAGAGGGAATTGCTCCACAAGCCTTGATGAACCCTCAACCCTGAACCCTGAACCCTAAACCCTAAACCCTAAACCCTAAACCCTAAACTGTAAACCCTAAACCCTAAGCCCTCAATTCCGTAAACAGCCTCGGACCCTGAGCCGAACAACTGTCGCCCTCAACCTCAAACCGCCGCGGTTCTGCCCCACAGGAAGCCACTCGTCAGAAGGCCTGGATTGGGGTAGATCATTTGGGGTAATAGGGAAGTAGGGTATTAGGGAGTTTGGGCAAAAGGGGTAGGGTTGAGGGCTTGGGGGTAGGGCTTGTGGAAGGGATTCAACTACGTGATGAAATGTGAGATGAAATGTGAGATGACTTGATTGGGGGACTTAGAGGCGTGCGTAGTCGCACCCTTGTTGTGGTTTAGAGTGCCTTTCGGGGCCTCTTGGGGTAGGATTTGGAGTTGAAAAGTCTTGTTGAATGGAGGCCAACGGAGCACGAGCATCTTCAGGGATATGGTTCCGGAGTGTGGGCGTGTTTTTTCCTTCACTCTTGTGCTGCGCTTCAAAATACTAATGAGACAAGGGAAAAGAAGACAGTATGGTACTGTAGAATCATGTCCTAATCATTCTATTGGCATTGCAGGGCTTATACGATTTTTTAAAGGGTCTTATAGGAATTTACAGGGTTCGTAAGATTTTATGAGGGCTTTGCTTCAGAAGGGTCTCTATTCCGAGGCTCTTCCTCCTGCCGGGCCCTAGGAAAACTATGGGAACTGGGAAGGGGCCGAGTCGCTGAACCACCCCCCCAAAATGAAGACTTTAGGGCCTTTTTGGGTTTAGGGTTTAGGGTTTAGGGTTTAGGGTTAGGGTTTTAGGGTTTAGGGTTTAGGGTTTAGGGGTTAGGGGTTAGGGGTTTAGGGCTTAGGGCTGCAGTTAGGATGCCCTCCCCCAGGTGGTGCTAAAATCAGGGGGGGGGGGGGGGGGCCCTTGTCTTCTCAGGTGAATGGTGAGCCTCTTGGACTCAGGGTGTGGGGGCTTGGGGCTTTGGGACTGTCTGGGTTTCGGACAGCCCTTAGCCCTCCATGAAACTTCGACATCTGCACCCTGTGTTGCCATGCAAGCGCAGGTCGTCATCCAAGAGGAGGCCGTGTGAACATGCAGAGGGCGTCAGGGTTTCTCATACAGGGTTTGCGGCATCGGACTTGGATTTGTTGCCTGTATGCTCCAGAGCGTTCCTGCTGGCTGTTGGCTTAGTTCTGGGTGCAGGCAGAATATATAGGGGTCGGAAGAATTACTACTAATATTCCCTTCTGGTCCCTCTATAATTATACCATAAGAACCCCCCCACCCCCCAAAACCCAATTCTAATGTTTAAGGCCCCCGAAACCCTGAGCCCTGAACCCCAAACCCTAAACCCTAAACCCCAAACCCCAAACCCTAAACCCTAAACCCAGCAGGGAAGGCGGGCTTCGGCGAGCTCATTCGATGTAAGGTTCCGGTTCGAGGATCCATGGCCTGGTACAAGGACTTCCGATCTTCGTGCGCTCGCTCAAGCTTGGGGACCTCTGTTCCCATAATTCCCTAGGTTTAGGGTTTAGGGTTTAGGGTTTAGGGTTTAGGGTTTAGGGTTTAGGGTTTAGGGTTTAGGGTTTAGGGTTCAGGGTTTAGGGTTTAGGGTTTAGGGTTTAGGGTTTAGGGTTTAGGGTTCCCATAATTCCCGGCCTGGCTGGGATTGTGAACCTCAGGCCTCAGGGACGTAAGAAGTCCACCACATCAGGATGGGTCTCAAAGCCTCGGGGGCTGCAGTGCAATCCTTGCAGTTCTAGCACTAGCTTGTGTGCTGCTTCTGTTGCTTGCTGCACCTGCCGCGGTAGCTCCTACAGAAAAGGGGAGATGAGATGTTTGTAAGATGGCTATCCCTGGCGTCAGGGATTTGCGGTTAGATTTTTCAGTTGCTTACCACAAGGTCCCTAGACCCAAACTTCAAACTGCAGTCCACCCACCTCCTAGCCCCGAGGCACAAAACCCCTCCTGCAAGAGAGACGTTTGGAGAGAGCCTTCCTTTGCCCAAGAGCTTCCGCCCCCTGCCAGACGCTGACTGAATACTTTGCCACGCTCGGTGAGATCGCGCGCAACGTCGCCCGACCGCATTGGGTGAGACCTTGCAGAGAGGACGTTCGCTTCGAGAGTGCTGGGGTATTCGCCGGCGCCTGCATTTCCAAAATCCGTGAGGCAATGCAAGAACTTATCAAAGCCCTCCAACCGGGAACAGGGTTCTTTGGTGATCAAGCGGCCTGCCAGCCCCAGGTTTTCAAGAATCAGATCTTCCAGGCGGGTGCACCTCATGAACCCAAGTTCATAGGAATAGGAATGGCAATGGTAATAGCAATAGCAATAGCAATAGGAATAGCAATCGTAATAGTAATAGTACTCGACATAGTACTAGTAATAGTAATAGCAATAGCAATACTCATAGTAATACTAGTAATACTAGCAATACTAGCAATACTAGTAATACTAGTAATACTAGTAATACTAGTAATACTAGTAATACTCGTAATACTCGTAATACTAGTAATACTAGTAATACTAGTAATACTAGTAATACTAGTAATACTAGTAATACTAGTAATACTAGTAATACTAGTAATACTAGTAATACTAGTAATACTAGTAATACTAGTAATACTAGTAATACTAGTAATACTAGTAATACTAGTAATACTACTAATACTCGTAATACTCGTAATACTCGTAAACTAGTAATACTAGTAATACTAGTCATACTAGTAATACTAGTAATACTAGTAATACTAGTAATACTAGTAATACTAGTAATACAAGTAATACTAGTAATACCAGTAATACTAGTAATACTCGTAATACTCGTAATACTCGCAATACTAGTAATACTAGTAATACTAGTAATACTAGTACTAGTACACCCGAAAAGTCCTTGCATGCAATGTGGGGCTTTCCGAAATGAGGGGCACCCTCTTTGAGGGATCCTGAATATCATATTTGGGGGGCCTATCAGGAGTCCTCGTATTTGGGGAGATGCCCATAAATCCTCCCAGGGGAATTAGCAGAGCGCAGGCGTTCATGCTCTTCTGCCTCTTCGTCGCGCGGGGGCGCCTGGGTAGTTGCCAAGCCCGAAAGATCCTGAACCGAAGCCTGGAAAGATAGGGGATCTTGTAGCAGACGTGCAACCAAGTAGGATGCGCGGTGCTCTTGGGGAAAGCTGGAATTCTTGACACACTCTGGCCCAAAACTTCGAAGCACACTTTGCAAACCAAGCATCCCAGACCAAACCCGATCAGGGAACCTGCTTTGAGGTTGTTTGTCGCCGACGTTTTCGTCATTATCAACGTGGTCGCCTGGCAGAAATGAGGTTCCTTTCACGTGTCATTGATGTGGGTGGGACAAACTGGGACCAGGGAAGGGGGGTGTGGCAGGAAGAGCTTAATGCCCAAAACCTCACAAGCCCTAAATCCTATCAACACCTGCTCAAGATGGCTTCGTGCCGCAACACCCAATGAGTCTTTCGGGCCGAAAGCATGCGCCCGTTGCTGTTGCCCCCTTTTAACTTCAAAAAACAAGGGCCTGAAGCAGGCAAAACCTGCGCGCACCCGACACTTCAACGGTTTCTTCCTCTCACGAGCAGCGCGGCCCTGATGCCATTGAAAACTCTATGAAGCAACGTCGACTTCTTGTAGGAAGCTGAGGTTCTAAGCCCTCAAACCCTCAAAGCCCTGAACCCCATACGTCAGAACCCTGTAAAGAAGGTGAGGGACCATAGAAAGGGCCCATGGAACTACCCTAAGCCCTAAATCCAAGACCCTAAACCCTAAACCCTAAACCCTAAACCCTAAACCCTAAACCCTAAACCCCAAACCCCAAACCCTAAACCGCGTGCAGGAGGCCCTAAACCCTTAGAACATCTCAACCCTGGAAGCTGGCTAAGTCCAACGATGCCGTGCTGGATGCCGTGCTGGTGGTCTTGATGGCCGCCGGCACCTCAATGGAGCCAGGGCTCCCTTCTTCCCCGGTTTAGGGTTTAGGGTTTAGGGTTTAGGGTTTAGGGTTTAGGGTTTAGGGTTTAGGGCTTCAGCAAATCCCAAGGGCCGAAGTCAAACATCGTTTCGGGCTGGGGCTCCGGGCTTCAGGTAGCAGAAGCCCCATAATCCCCATAAACCCCATACACCCTATAAACCCCATAAACTTCATAAACCCTATGAACCGTATACGCCCTACAAGCCCCACAAAGCCTATACACCCTGCAAACCCCATAAATCCTATAGACCCTATAAACCCCCATACTCTCAACAAAGCCCATAAACCCCATAAACCCTACAAACCCCATAAAGGTCATAACCCCATAGACCCCATAGACCCCATAAATCCTAGAAACCCTAGAAGCCCCTTTAACCCTAAACACCCTATAGATCCCACAAAGACCACACAAACCCAATGGGGGTTTCCGAAATTAAGATACCTTATTGGGGTCCCCTCTCAGGGAATCCTACTATTTGGGGTCTGGTTTTGGGGGGGTCCCCTATTTCGTACACCACCATAAACCCTTTAACCCCCATAAACCCTATACACCCTATATAAACACCTTTAAGCCTATAAACCCCTATAAATTTCGATTAACATCCATAAACCCTATAAACCGCTTAAAACACCCTTTAACCCTATAAACCCCTACAAACATCCATAACCCCCCCATAACAAGCCCTGTCGGGCCCAGGCTTTCTTGTGCGAGTTCGTGGTGCAGCTCCTTGCATATCCGAGGTGCAAATTAGGGTTTAGGGTTTGGGGGTTAGGGTCTAGGGTTTGGGGGTAAGGGTTTAGGGTTTAGGGCTTAGGGTCAAAGATCTTCACTTAGTGGGAAGTTTCGGAATTTGGGGTCCTCGCATGTCTGATCCCTTAAAGGGGGATAAGCCCCTTTTTTTAAGAAGTGGCAAGCAGCTTTCCTGCTGGACGCCCCACAAAGTCCAGAAATGTAGAGAAGTCACAGAAGCCCTACAGCCCCCCCAAGGCCTAAAACGATTCAAGACCTCGCAGCCCCGACGCGCAGAAAGCAAAGACTTCGATATTTGAGGGCTGTCCCGGGTGGCCCGGACCCGGCAACTCTTGCTTGTTGTTCATGGATACTTGGGGAAGCGGAGGAGATGCACCTGCCCCAAACCCTAAACCCTAAACCCTAAACCCTAAACCCTAAACTCTAAACCCTAAACCCTAAACCCTAAACCCTAAACCCTAAACAGCTTCCGAGTGCCAGGGGATATACTTGCTCCTTCTACTTCTGGATGGACCTCCTCGGCATCCTCTCTGCGCGGGCACCTACACATCTTGCCGGCACTCTGAGGCACTGTCAGGTCCCGCGGTGTAGTTCCGGGGTTCCGTTTCGGGCTTATCCCCACCTAAACCCTACTAAACCCTAACCCTACTAAACCCTTTACCCTAAACCCTAACCCCTAAATCCCCCTAAATCCTAAAGGGCTTACAGGCCCGAATTTGGGCTGCAGGGTTCACGGCTCCGTTTCTGGGGGCTCAGGCGTGTCGATTTAGGGGCCCTTGCGTTGGCCGAGCTGGAAGTTCGGCGCACCTTGATGCCTAAGGGAGCCGAACTTGTCGAGTGCATACTTTTGGGGGTCGGAATAGTTGCTAGTAGTGTTCCCTTATGGTCCCTGCGTGATGATACTACAAGAAGCCCCCCAAAACCCTGTTCGAACTATTAAGGCCCCTACAGCATCCGAATCTTGAACCTAGGATCCGTGAGACTCGATATCTCGCCCCAGAGCGCACCAGCTCCATGTCCTTGCAAGACGGGAAACCCCCCCCCCTCGAAAACCCTAAACCCTAAACCCTAAACCCTAAACCCTAAACCCTAAACCCTAAACCCTAAACCCTAAACCCTAAACCCTAAACCCTAAACCCTAACCCTAAACCCTAAACCCTAAACCCTAAACCCTAAACCCTAAACCCTAAACCCTAAACCCTAAACCCTAAACCCTAAACCCTAAACCCTAAACCCTAACACGACTGAGCTGCCCAGCTGAGGGCTCTATGCCATCCCAACCCCTGAGACCAGATCCCACTTCCCTCCTTGAGGACCAAATGAATTTCTAAAATTGGGATACCCTATATATATATATATATATATATATATATGTATATATCTATATATATATATCTATATATATATATATGTATATATATATATATATGTATATACATATAGAACCCTCTACTACTATAGTCCTTATTAGGGTGTATGAGCCATAAACCCTTTCGGGGTTCATGTGTTCCTTGAGTCTTAAGGTTATCAAACCCAGGGCACTGCCAAAGCAACGCAAACATCCCTCGCCCGGACCGAAGATCACTGTGGCCTGCCGAGGTGCCGCTAGATCACTCTTTGGCGCAGAGCTTACTACTGGGTTTGGGGTTTAGGGTTTGGGGTTTAGGGTTTAGGGTTTAGGGTACTGTAGCCTTGTTCGTTCAGGCTCGGTGTTTTTTTGCTGTTGTGTGTTTTTGTGGGAGGTAGAGGCAGGGCATGTTTCTGTTTGGGCCGGGGGGGGATGGGGTTGTGGTTCCCGGGGGTTTGGGCGAAATTAGACTTCGGGGACATGCGGATGCGGCACGTCTTTGGTTTTACATCGTAGGGCTCGCATTTTGGTTTTTCACGCGCTCGACAGAAGATGCACCATGTGACATGGCCGCAGGCGTCAGGCCAAAGATCTTGACCAGACTTCTTCGCACCTACTTGTACAGATGCCTGACAGAATGAGCTTTCGCAAAGGCGGTCTCGTGCTGGCCACGATCCTTTGTCACTGCACCGCCATTGGGGCTTTCGTGCACGGGTTATCGGCGGAAACTCAAGATTCATCCTGCGGGAAGAAGGGCAAGGCGCAGGAGCACTCGTTGTTGCAAAAACAGCTCAAGGGCACGCTCCACTCTAAAGCAGTTGCTGGCCTTGGCAGCAAAACCAGAATGCAGATGGCCGTGAACAAGTCAACCAGCATGACGAGCTCGAGTGCCGAACCTTGCGGGCATCCACACCGTGTGGTTTGCATGAAGGATGTGAATCACATTAACGAGGCTTGGGTTCAGGTGAGATCTACAACATCCTTGGCAAACTGCCTAAGCCTTTGCATGAAAGAAGCCAACTGCGTCGTTGCAGTCTTCAACAAGTACAAGCATGCTATCTCAAATCGCATTCTGAGATGATTGGTGATTCTCCCACGCATGAAACTATCAGCTGCTCAAAGACTGATATAGGGTGGGGAGCATGGTTGGTAGCTGCCTGGAATCCAACGTTATGTGTGAAAGAGAGCGCAGGCTCACGACTGACGCTTGGTTCATGTCCTGGGCTAACGTTCACGCACGGCATCAACGGCAATACTCATCTGGGAAGCACACCGGGCGTGGTGAGTGCCCGCTCCGATGATTCTTTAAGCCTCACTTCGGCCGAGAGTGCCAGGGCCTACTACTCCGCGTGGATTCCGGATGCGGACATGCACTGGACTGTCCGGAACGAACGTTGCCGGGCGAATAACCCAGTGGCGGGATGCTTCACCGGCTTCCCGAACGGGGATGCGGTACTCAGTACTTGTGGCAGCGCCCAGGTGTTTGGAGTGGACTTGCAGCAATTTGTCTTCATGTACCCCCACCAGGACTTCTACTTGGAGACGTTCACCGGAAGTTGGATCCACACTCATCACCACGATCAGCCCCTGAGACTGGGTCCAGCAGCATTCGAGCACAAGACGCGCTTCAGACTCATTTGCGTTGGCTCCGTTCCTTGGTCCTCGTGGCACAATGGGGAAGATTACCGCTTCTACATTCTGCAGCTCACCGGCCATGGAGCAGGGCAGTACTTGCACATACATGGCGACCGCAAGCTCGGGCCTGCAGAGGCCAAATATGCAGAACTCTTCGAGCTTTATCGTTCCTCAAACGACAATGTCGGGTTCCTTGGTGTGCCAAGGAATGGTGAGACGGTAAACTTCTGGGTCAGGCAGGATTTTTCAAAGAGCTGGGTCAGCTTCGAAAGGACCGGCTGGGTTCTCTTGGAGAACAACCGGCTGAGCACCGTCAAACGTCAATGGGCGAACCCAACGGGGATGAAGTTTGTGTATGCTTGAGCCATAGGCTGCTGTCGCAGCTAGATGTTTTGAAAGCTGCGAGCTTACAGTACAGACCTGCGGGAAGAGACTTGGAGTAGCATGTTGTGCGACACTGTACAGTAGCCATGGTCGCACGTGCTGGTCGAAGCTCTGACGGCAGCGGGCCTGGTGGGTGTCGAGCGCGCCCCCTACACACAGGGGACGCCGGATCGGGACCTGCGCTGGGCTGTCCGTGACAAACGTTGCCGGATGCACGCACCAAGGGATGATTGACCCAACTCTTTCAGTGCACCGGTATAGGTACCCACTCAGCGAACAGTCCTTGCGGCCGCAAGTGTCAGCCTTCAAAGCCGCAAGACCTCGACAACTCCCGATGTTTTTTTTTGCATATGCTCCGGAAGCATAAACCCTAAAGCCTGCAGACCCTAAATCCTATAAACCCTATAAGCCCTATAAGCCCCAAGCCCTACAAACCCCTACAGCCCGTTAACCCCTAAACCCCTAAACCCTAAGCCCTAAACCCTAAACCCTAAACCCTAAACCCTAAACCCTAACCCTAAACCCTCAACGCCTAGAGCCCGTTAGCACCTTAGGTTGTAAACGCGCTGCCCAGCGGCCTGGACAGCAACGCGGTGGTGATGCGAGCGGCCGGGCCCCCAGCCTCGAGCCACTGCAATGAGGTCAGGGTTCGGGGTATATAGGATTTAGGGTTTAGGGTTTAGGGTTTAGGGTTTAGGGTTTATAGGACTTGGTAGCCCAGTGAGTACCCTTTACCCTTTTTGTAGGTTTTGTGTTCCCTTAGAAATATTTATAGCCAACCCCAAAAAGGGTGCCTTATTATAACATGGTTACTGGGCTACAAGGAGGATTCAGGGTTTAGGGTTTATAGGATTCAGGGTTCAGGGTTTAGGGTTCAGGGCTTGGGGTTTAGGATCTTGGGTGTAGGGTGGGCCTTGGGCTTCGGAGTCTTTCGTTGCTGGGGCGCTTGCGCAGGGGGGGCGGGGATCCATGCTGGGTGCACCTGCTTCAAAGGTCTCAATCCTGAACCCTCTAAACTCTCTAAACCCTCTAAACCCTCTAAACCCTCTAAACCCTCTAAACCCTCTAAACCCTCTAAACCCTCTAAACCCTCTAAACCCTCTAAACCCTCTAAACCCTCTAAACCCTCTAAACCCTACAAACCCTATAAACCCTATAAAACCCTACAAACCCTTAAAACCCTATAAACCCTAAACCGCTAGACCAGGCCCACCACCCCAAGCACTGAACGGCCCGAAAAAGGAAAGGCCCCAAAGCCCTACCGCAGAAGCCCCTTAAGCCAAGATGCCCCTAAGCCACGCAGCTCACCCTCAACCCTACAAGCCTATAAACCCTGTAAACCCATAAACCGCATAAGCCCTATAAACCCTATAAACCCCTTTAACCCTGACACCCTCTAAGCCCCCCTAAACCCTACAAACCCTAAAATCCAATAAACCCTGCAAAAAAACCTTAAAAACCCTGTAAACCCAACCCCCTAAAGCCTACAAACCCTACAAACCCCAAAGGCCAAAACCCTAAACCCTGAAAACCCTATATCCCTAAACCCTAAACCCTAAACCCTAAACCCTAAACCCTAAACCCTAAACCCTAAACCCTAAACCCTAAACCCTAAACCCTAAACCCTAAACCCTAAACCCCTAAACCCCTAAACCCGAAACCCGAAACCCGAAACCCTAAACCCTAAACCCTAAACCCTCCAAAAGTGCCCCCCCCCCCCTCCCCCCCACAAGGCGCGCATGGCCAAGCTCGGGGCCAGGGCCGGCCGCTTCACGAAGCTGGTGAAGCTGCCCATGGGCCCAGGTTAAGGGGGGGGATACAAGGTTTAGGGTTTAGGGTTTAGGGTTTAGGGTTTGGGGTTTGGGGTTTAGGGTTTGGGGTTTGGGGTTTAGGGTTTTAGGGTTTAGGGATAGAAATATGGGGAGGGGGGGGGATCACAAAGGGGGTTAGAAAGGGTGAGAAAAGGCGGGTTAAAAAGGGTTTTGAAGGGTTGAAAAGGGAGAGCCTACAGGGCTTAAGATTCAGGATTTGGGGCCTAGGTGTTACGATCGTGGCCCGTGGACCCGGTAGTCAAATCAGCCCTCGATCTTGGGGCCTACCTCAACCCTAGACCGAAAACCCTCCCAAAACCCCTAAGCCCCTAAAAGCCCTTGACCCAAGCCCCTAAACTCTTGCCCTAAACCCGTATATTATACCCTGAAACCCTAAACCCGAAACCCTAAACCCTAAACCCTAAACCCTAAACCCTAAACCCTAAACCCTAAACCCTAAACCCTAAACCCTAAACCCTAAACCCTAAACCCTAAACCCTAAACCCTAAACCCTACCTAAACTCTAAGCCCTCCATTCTGTTCGGGTCGGCTCTGTTATTGTTCTTCAGGTTACGCTTCCTGCCTTTCATGCAGCAGACAAGTTCGGGCGGCACCGCCAGGGTCCTGCCCTGAGAGATGTGGGGTTTGGGGTTTAGGGTTTAGGGTTTAGGGTTTAGGGTTTAGGGTTTAGGGTTTAGGGGTTTAGGGGTTTAGGAGGGTTCAGGGTCTACAAGATTGGTCCCGAGAAAAGGGGAGGCCGTTCGGGACTATTCTTCTGACCGAAGAGATTGTTTCCAAGTACCCCCTAAGCTGAAGGTTTTAGGGTGTGCCTGCAAGACACCTGAGTTCGATACCAGCCCCTGGCTTTGGAGAGTGTTGGGTGGTCAGGGTCTTGGTGTTAGTGAAGGACTTTAAAGAAAAGACAGACAATAGGGGCACCCTAAATTGGAGGTCCTTTCGATTATCTAGTATCTTGGGGTCTATAAGGGGTACCCCTGTTTTCGGAAATCCCCATATGCTTGCAGCCGGCTTCATACCTTCAACATGGATTCCCCAAAAGTATAGTTTTGGCAAGGGTACCAAGTTCAGTATAGTAAGTCCTCACTCAAACGTCTTGAGTTGGGACGTTCCCCCTTACAGTCCTTAATAGGGATGATAATCGGCACGAGCCCTGCGCCCCCCCGGCCTTCCGGACTTCTTTCGGAGCAGCGGCACCTTGACAAGGGTCACCCTAAACCCTAAACCCTAAACCCTAAACCCTAAGCCCTAAACCCTAAACCTCCACAAGCCCCCACCTTCGCAGGTAATCTCCGCAACGTTAAACGTTGCGCTTTCCATGCGAGTGCCGGGGGCCTGCGTGTCCAGCAGGCTTCCTTTAGACATGTTACGCTGTAGTTTTTTACATTTTCAGTATACCTTTGCTGTAGGTTAGTTTCTATGCATGTATGCTTTTGGTTTGTCAAGCTCTCTTGGCGGACCGCAAAATTTCCAGGCTGTTGGTTTCTGCGGGTGCGTGTATGAGACACACCGATGGACAGAAGGCACAATCTGTGGTGCGCCAATGTAGGTGATATCTCGACAAGATCTCAAGCAAGTATCCTATCTGCAAGGCAACTCACGTCATCGTGATCTGTGAGGAAACCCTATCCCTAAACCCTAAACCCTAAACCCTAAACCCTAAGCCCTAAACCACCCTGTGAAACATTCTGAGTGAAGTTAGCAGCGGCTCACAGCCTAACAAGGCCATCACGCTCTGAAAAACTCGTTAAATGCCTGGCTGAAGGAAACTATATCGCCCTTGGGAATTGTTCTTGTGCATGTTTATATAAATTCCAAGAGGATATTTACAATCTTATTTTATTGAGGTTCTAAGGGGAGTATAGGAAAGTCTGGTTGTGCAACCCGTAGGCTCAAAATAGCCCCAAGACCTTACAGAACGAGGCCTTTGGGCCCCAAACCCTTGAAGTAAGAGTCCTGGGAGCGTTAGGGTAGAACAGCTAGTGGCGGAAAGCAACTGATGCAATAAGACCCATGGTCGACAAGATTGGGTTTCAGGTTGCTTCAGGGCGAGGCGCTATAGTCAGCGTCATGTTGAACCGTACAGGTTTTAGTCCTCCACGTCCGTGGCGGACTTGACGGCGTAGGCCTCAAGAACACGTGTTGCACCCTACAACAACCCTAAACCCTAAACCCTAAACCCGAAACCCTATAACCCTATAACCCTATACCCTATAACCCTATAACCCTATAGCCCTATTACCCTAAGCCCTACAACCCCCGAAGCTCCCGAGGTCACTCTTGATTATCTTGATGGTGCTGGTTCTGCCGCTGTTCTCCCTAGCCGGGCACTTGGCTCTGTGAGCTGCCGCAGAGCAGTCCCGGCACATTCGGGTTGAGGGCTTCAGGGCTTGAAAGGGTTTAGGGTTTAGGGTTTAGGGTTTAGGGTTTAGGGTTTAGGGTTTAGGGTTTAGGGTTTAGGGTTTAGGGTTTGGGGTTCAGGGTTTAGGGGGTTTGGGGTTTAGGGTTTAGGGTTTGGGGGAGTTTCTTGCTATGTTGAGGAAGGCTCATGCTGTGTTCGAAGCGTCAGTCTAGGGCAAAAGGCTTTCGTTTCCTCTCATGGGTGTCACAAACAAAGACACGCCTTTGAAAGCAATGGCATAAACTGGAAGAGGTCGTCAGGAAACCGTTTCATCAGCCAAGATCGCAAAACCCTACTCAGTACAAGACCTTCAGCCTTGAACCCAAATCCGAAGCCCCTTGCAAGCAGGAGGGGAGTCATGCCAAGATCCCGCCGGCATGGTCCAGTACGCTTTCTGAACATCTCTGAACCACACAGTGGTGTAGGAATCCCTATACCGAGGTAGCCTCAACCACCTAAGCCCTTAGCCCAAACTCTCCAACCCCCTTGAAACCTAAGCACACCAAAATCCCCAAAACCCTCTAACACCCCAAATCCTCTAAAAACCCTACAAGCCTTAAACCCTAAATCCTAAACCCTAAACCCTAAACCCTACACCCTAAACCCTAAACCCTAAACCCTAAACCCTAAACCCTAAACCCTAAGCCCTGAACTCCGAGGCCACCTTCCCAGAGAACGACTTCTCCATGCGCATGTGGGTGGAGACGGTGGGTGCCGCGCTGAGACCGCACCAGGGGCCATCAATCGTCTATAAGGCGGTGGGAACTCCCGCAAAACCCTCAACTCCAGTCCCAAAACCCCAAACCCCCAAAACCCTCAACCCTAAACCCTAAACCCTAAACCCTAAACCCTAAACCCGAAACCTTACCCCCCCCCCCGCTCCCTTAGAGCTGCTTCAGCCAGGCGACACCGCGACCCTGGAGGCGCAGTACCTGGAGGAAGCCTCTTGGCTGGACTACGTCCCAAGGGCTCGAGGGTTGTAGGCTAAACCTTATAGGTTTAAGTCCTAAACCCCAAACCCTAAGCCCTAAACCCTAAACCCTAAAAACTAAACCCTAAACCCCAAACAGGGTTAGAGGTTTTGTTTGTTTCGGGCACTTTGAGAGCCAAGCCGGATTCCGAGATGAGAGGGGAGTTCGGAGGTACTGGAGGTTATTCCATGGGTAAAGCTCCGAGGGGCCCTACGGTTAGCTCTTGGGGGTTTAGGGTTTAGGGTTTAGGGTTAGGGTTTAGGGTTTAGGGTTTAGGGGCTCCATCATCAGCCCCGTGAGCCGAAGATGCCTAGACTCGCCATGGTTGCGCAGCAATCCGCATCGAGGTGCTCTTGAACTTCACCACGTTCTATGCCAGCAGCAGCTACTTTCCTTTCCAGGCGGCCACGATTTTGGGGATTCAGGGGTCTGACGGGCACTCATCATCACTCATCGAGGCTCATGGCCTGGGCTCCAGTGGAGGATCGGGGTACACCGAATTCCTGGAATTCGCGTTAAACCCTTCTAAACCCTAAACCCTAAACCCTAAACCCTAAACCCTAAACCCTAAACCCTAAACCCTAAACCCTAAACCCTAAACCCTAAACCCTAAACCCTAAGCCCTAAGCCCTAAGCCCTAAGCCCTAAGCCCTAAGCCCTAACCCTTGGCGCCAGGTTTCTGTGGACTACGGGAACGGCACGGCTGTGAGCCAAGATGGGGCGCGAAGAAGATTGCGGGCTCAAGCTTGGGTTGAACGGCTTCGGGTCTCCTTTTGTTATTTAACCCTAAACCCTAAACCCTAAACCCTAAACCCTAAACTCTAAACCATAAACCCTAAACCCTAAACCAGTAAGCCTAGGTAGTGTAGGGTCTTCCGAAGGATGCGTGTGACTTCGAGCCTATAGACGCTTTTTGTATGGAAGCAGTCGAGCTTTCGAGGAACCTCTAAACCATAAGTGCTTAGGGTTCGGGAGGATTCGGGAGGGTTATAGGGTTTAGGTTCCCCAACATCCAGGGCTCCCAATTTTGGGCCCCAATGCGAGCTGAGGTGGTGACACGGGCGTTGAGGTCAGAAACCCCCGCCCGGTCACGTGCGTCTTTGAGCATTCAGGCGGCCGATAGTGATCGGTTTTGGGGACCTATAACCCTAAACCCTAATCCCTACTAATCCCTAATCCCTAGCCCCTAAACCCTAAACCCTACACCCTATGCTAAACCCGAAACCCCATTCTCTCTTCGCGCCTTTTCAGGCTGTAAGGGCTTCAGGGCTCAGGGTTTCGGAGTGCAGGGCTGTGGGTGATAGGGTATTCTAGGGCTTAAGGCCTTCTTTGGGGGTTGGGACTTGAAAGTTCGCTGAAGCCCCAAGCAGTGTCAAAGGCATTTGTTGCTCGGATTGCAGCTTCGATCGTCACCGATACCTGTTTTGGAGTGCTAAGCCCTACGCCCTACACCCTAAACCCTAAACCCTAAACTCTACACCCTGAACCCTAGGCTTCTGTGCCTACCCACTGCACGTGCGAGAGAGTTCCTCCGCGGCACCATGCTCTTGAGCTGACGTCTCGTCGCTTGTTAACCCTCAGGCCTCCACGGAACGCTGCACAAGAATCCCCCACCCCCAAAGGGGTTTAGGGTTTAGGGTTTAGGGTTTAGGGTTTAGGGTTTAGGGTTTAGGGTTTAGGGTTTAGGGTTTAGGGTTTAGGGTTTAGGGTTTAGGGAATAATTAGGGGTTTACAAGGTTTATGAGTTTTAGGGCCCCCTTCCTCCCGCTCAGCAGGCGGCCAGCAGCTCTACCATGGCCTCCTTCGACTTCACCCAACCCCAGCAGGCCCTCACCGGAGTAGGGATTAGGGTGCCCTTAGCCTTTTCTTGGGGTTTAGGCTTTAGGCTTTAGGCTTTAGGCTTTAGGCTTTAGGCTTTAGGCTTTAGGCTTTAGGCTTTAGGCTTTAGGCTTTAGGCTTTAGGCTTTAGGCTTCAGGCTTCAGGCTTCAGGCTTTACGCTTGAGGGGGGTTTAGGCTTTAGGGTTTAGGGCTCAGGGTTTAGGGTTTAGGGTTGAGGGTTTAAAGTTTAGGGTTTAGGGTTTGCATGTAGGGGGCTGGACATGTACGTGTGTGGCAGCTGTTAGGCCTCTAGCATCAAGAGCCAAAAACATTTCGTGGGCCCCCGCTTCTGAAATCCTAGGAGACTGAACGCTTCAGGTCGACTCGATCTGCAACTGTCTCTTGATTGCTGGGAGCCCCTGCCGTTCGGGATGCTTTGCAGAGTTTCGGGACTTTTTTCGGGGGGGGTTTAGGGAGTTGCCTGGTTTAGGTAAGTACCTGAGAATTTGGGGTGTTGGGGGATTTAGGGAGTTTCCTGAGAATCTGGAGGGATCTGAGTTTGCGGTTTCATTGCGGGACTCAGAGAGTCTCCTGTTGGAGCTTCCGCAGTTCGGCTGTTTTTTGGCTCCGGTAGCATACGGACAGAATCCATGCATTAGTGCTATGTTTGTGCGCAAGTTCTGGAAGGATCCAAACCCAACCAAATCAAGATAGTTGTGGGCCTATAATTCGTCATCAGCTAGCGCTCCGGGGGCCTATGCAGATGTCGATCTGTCTTGAAGCGGCTCTGCTCAGCGGCAAGCGGACACGGATTCTGGCCGACCGGGATGATCCAGTCAAGAAGCTTCGTTGCGAGGTGTGCGCCGCATTGGGTGTGGACCGTGGAAGTTTGATAGGCCCATCTGGAAACAGTCTGTCTGGGATCGCAACAGTGGGAGAAGAGGGGCTTCAAAGCGGAGACGTGCTTACGGTACACATTAGTGAGCCACGGGTTGCGGCGTCCGTTCCTGCTTTCGCAACTATACTTCAGGATCGTACTGTTGAGATTTCAGCTGAAATTGAAGACAGCACGGCGCCGACACAGACTCTGGAGAAGGTACGTGCCATCCGTTCCTGTGTCGATGCATTCGCGGCGATTTCAGATGATGGATGTGTCGTTACGTGGGGATCGCCTGCAAGTGGGGGTGACAGCAGTGCCGTCCAGGCGCAGCTCAGAAACGTCCGACAGATCCAGGCCACTGCACCTACGACTTCAGCCGACATTCCAGGCTCGGGGGAGGGGGGGGGTGCTTGAACGACTACTTTGAATGTTCACAGGGTTTGAAGGTTTCTTAAACAGAGACTATTTATTCAGAGGGTCTACATCCCCAAGGGTGCCCCTAATCGTATCCCCTACCAGTCACCCTTCGATTTTGCTTGTCCTCAAAATTAGATTGAAACTTCAGCAACGAGTCGCAAGCCAGGGTTGGACCGCTTAAATGACTTGAAATGGTTTAGGGTTTAGGGTTTAGGGTTTAGGGTTTAGGGTTTAGGGTCTGTACCGTTTGGGGAGGCAAGGTGTCTACAGCCAGGCTTAAACTTTTCATGCAAGACACAACTCTAAACGAGCGCATTTCAAACCTCTTTCGGGCAGCCTCCGGCAACCATTCTCAACCACTTGCAAAGGTACTTACTTGGTGGAGAGACGGAGGGCCACTTTTATAGGGTCATGTTGTTTTTAAGGATTGTGTTTTCTTTGAAGCATTCAGTGGTACCCTGCGATTGCAAGTTTACAACACACATGTTTTTTTTGCGTCATCTCAACATTCCGCTTTTATGAGATCACCCTTGCCGGATGTTGCACGCGCCCAATTGTTATGCGCATTTTCCGATACATTGAGGTGCTGCGTATACGGGCAGTTTGGAGGGGTAATGCATCCGGCCCAGCCTCGCAGGCCTAAACGGTTTCGGTAGAGGAGCCCAAATGTCGAATCACACTGCGACCCATTTGGGCCACACGCGTCCGGACAAAAGAAAAAATGTTAAAGTGCCCTGGGTCCTCAGCGAAAATGTTTAAGTATTGGGCTCCGCGAACTGCAAAATTACGCATGCTTATATGCCCCGAAAGCCCAACTGTCACTGCTCCAGGATCTCCTCCAGGCTACAGTATTATACACCCCGACTACAACGCCTTTGCGGCCATACGGGACGATGGCTCCGTTGTGACGTGGGGAGACTCGGAGGCTGGCGGTGACAGCAGCTCTGTGCAAGGACGGTTGAGAGCCGTGGTGCAGATCCAAGCGACTCGGTAGGCCCTTGGGACATGTTGTATTTTCCCTTACAGAGGATCATATTCTGAATATTTTCTCAGAGGGGGTTTAAGGGCCATCCTAGGCTACGCTCGATGCTTTTGCTGCCATCTTGGCAGATGGATGTGTGGTCACCTGGGGGTCTGCTGAGTATGGGGGTGACAGCAGTGCTGTTTCGGAGCGGCTGCGGAATGTGCAAGCCATCCAAGCAAATCGTGGTGCTTTTGCTGCCATTCTTCATGATGGTTCCGTGGTTACTTGGGGAGACCTTGAGTTTGGTGGGGACAGTAGCGCTGTTCAACACAAGTTGAAGGGCGTGCTACAGATCCAGGCTACTTTCACGGCCTTTGCCGCTATTCTAACGGATGGATCAGTGGTTACTTGGGGAAGACAGAAAGGTGGCGGTGATAGCAGCTCTGTCCAAAAGCAGCTGCTTAATGTGAAGCAGATACAAGCATCCAGCGCAGCATTTGCTGCCATACGTAGTGATGGTTTCGTTGTCACATGGGGACAGCCTGATGGTGGGGGTGACAGCGGCTCTGTGCAAACTAGCCTGAAAGATGTCCTGCAGATCCAGGCTTCTCTCGAAGCCTTTGCTGCCATTCTGATGGATGGATCTGTGGTTACTTGGGGGAACCCGGGATATGGCGGCGATAGCAGCTCTGTCCAAGAGAAGCTGCTCCACGTGACGCAGATTCAAGCATCCGGCGCAGCTTTTGCGGCTATTCGCAACACTGGGCATGTTACTGAACGCCGCAGTGGTACTCTTTTGCCCTTGTCTGTGTTGTTCGGTCTGTTAAGAAACTAACCAAGGTAGCGCCCTTTTTAGCCAGACTTGCAAAGTCGTTGCTTCTAGGTCGTGACCTGGGGCAACCCTTGCATGGGTGGCGACAGCAGTGGCGTTCGTGAGCAGCTGGTAGATGTGCGGCAAATCCAAGCCTCCCGGGTGTCCTTCATGGCCGTGTTGGGCAGCGGTGCTACAGTGACCTGGGGCGGAAATAAAGGGAAGCGCTCGAAGCAGAGAGCTGTGAGGATTCATGATTCATGGTTCTTACGCTTGCTTCCCCAAGGATACGGGTTTTCGGGCTTTCAGGCCTCTTTGCCGATGTAGGGCTGTAGGGTTTGGGGTTTAGGGTTAATTAGGGTGTAGGGTTTAGGGTTGAGGGTTTAGCCCAGCGGCCTGCTGAAACCGTGAACCATGACATCGTGCAGTTGCTGCTTCAGACCTGCGTTGTAACTAGACGTGCGAAGTTCGCATTGAGTTCCAGGACGGGCTATTCTACCCTCTAACCCCTTAAAAAAGGCCCTTTATAGGGTTGATTATGGGAGTTATAGTGGGCCTAGCAACCCATTCTGATTCGTTGTTACATCTAAGCGTCCTTGAACTGGCCGTGAACCAGCCTGGACCTCTGGATGTTTGTGGCCCTAAACAACCCTAAACCTACTTGCATTCAAATCAGGCACGGCTCCTGCTGGCTTTGGGGGGTATCTGAAGCCTAGAAGATCGGGCTAAGGAAGAGGGCTCAGGGATGTTCAGGGCTTGGGGGTCTCTACTCTCAAGCTTCCAAGCTCCGAGTTCTATGAGCTGGCCACGCATCAAGTTGCAAACAGCACCCTGTTTCGGGTAGACGTTGGGGCAAAGAGCTTGGAGTTCTTTGGAGCTTGGGGTTTAGGGTTTCGGGTTTAGGGCTAGAAGGGTTTAGGGTTTAGGGTTTCGGGTTTAGGAATAGGGATATAGCAGGGGTTGCAGGTACCCTGAACTGCTGGAGCGGTTTCCGATGCACACCCGGCGCCGAACAGCTAACACTCTTGCAACTCGAGTCCTTGCAGCTGCGGGTCAACCCTAAATTCTAAATTTATAAAACTAAAACCCTAAACTCTAAACCCTAAACCCTAAACCCTAACCCTACACCCTAAACCCTAAACCCTAGCCCTAAACCCTAAACCCTAAACCGCTCAGGTAACAATAGTTTTACTGTCGCCCTGGCCTGTTTTGAGTTGTTCTTAGACGGCTCATGCTGCGCAGTTTTGTGTAGTCCGGGGTAGGGTATTTTAGGGTATGCGTTGTTTTTTGTATCCATTCTATGTGTATATATATATATATATGGTATATGTATGTGTATATATATATATATTGATTATGACTATGATTATTATTGTTATCTTTATTATTCTTAGTATTGTTATTATTATGATTATATGTATAGAAAGACCGGTATTTCGCGAAATAGGGCTCCCTGTTATACACCCTCCCCTCCAAAGTACCACAATCCGGATTCATGGATACGGCTCCAGGGAGTTATGTTCTTGTAAGGGTTTTGGGTTGTTGGAGCTTACGTAGGGGCTTCTCGTATGTGTTGACGGCCCTCTTCAGGGTCAGGGTGTCCGATGAGGAGGAGCGTGATGATGTAACAAGTTGCGTTCATGCCTTTGGGCTTCAAGGACCCTGGGGGAGACAAACGTGGCCAAGGGTTTAGGGTTTAGGGTTTATAGGGCTTAAGATCCATGATAAGTTCAAACCGCTCCACCAGTTCTCTCCAGATCAGCTGCGGGAAGAACCAGACTTTGACAGAGGCGACGTTGAGGGCTCTCAGGATGCTCTCCAAGGAAAGTATGGCCTCCAAGATGTAAATGTCACCTCGTCACAGGAATGCCGTAGACAGGGAGAGGGTGCCAAGAAGACCAGTGTTCTTGCACTCTGCGTCGCGCTGGCGCAGGATGAATGAAGGGTTCGTCCGATCTTCGGCCGAGTACGTCCACGTAAACTGAAGCAAGAGTCAACCCCCAAGAAAAGGCGAACGCACGTTTTCTCAACTCAGCGACAAAGCAAGGATGTCACGCTTACGAATATCAACAAAGATTACCAGGCGGTGGCTCTTCTGCTCCATGTCGAGTACAGTGATTTTTGCTGGCGATGCACCTGCCCCATAGCCGAGCCGTCCATGCCGAACTCTTCCTGTCCAGCAGGGGCTTACAGGGCTTTTGGGCTGAGCTCTTCAGAGGTTAGGGGTTTCTATGGGTTCAGGGCAAGGAAATTGCTGGTGCCGATGTTGGATGACATGGCACAGCTGTGCACCGGAAGCCTGCAGGGGCTAGCTTCCCGCGCCAAGCGCAACACCTTCCAGGAAAGCTTTAGGTGCAGTAGTCTCAAGGTTGAGCCGAGCCTTTTAATCAACCCAGTGGGTGCGAAAGATGGATATGGACTTGGACCCTCTCAAACGCCTCAACACCTTGGGCGGCTTGTTTGGCGCACTGCCAACGCATCCCGCCCTTGTTTGAGGCTTGTCCCGACGTCTACACAGGCTACAGCCTGAACCCCATAAGCAACAAAACTCTAGTGTTTTGGCTTCTGGGGCGTTGGAGACTTCACACTTTGGGCTTTTTTCTTTCTTCCACATGATGGCGGAGGATGGGGTATATCCCAAACCTAGACCCCACCCACCCTGAGTGGACGCCATGGGGCGCGTTCGGGATTTGGAGTGCTTGGTTAAAGAATCGCATGGACTTCCCAATTTTGTGTGCCCCGGCAAGCCATGAAACTAAATTACGATTCCCCTTCATGCTGCAGAATTCACGATGCCTAGAGTCTATAGAAACCATTTCTTCTCTAAACCCTAAACCCTAAACCCTAAAGCCCTAAAGCCCTAAAGCCCCTAAAGCCCTAAAGCCCTAAAGCCCTAAACCCTATCAAGCCTCATCCCGAAACCTGATCCCTGGCGTCCTGGACCTTCCCGTGCCAGGATGGTGATTTCGGCGCTTTTCCTCTCCAACACGGTGACTCACATAGTGCTGACACCTCTGGAGCCCGAAAGCTCGGCTTTGTGGGAGTTTGGGCGGTCTGCATGGGATGTTGAGGGGAATTGTGTGGGGGATTTTGGGGGTTCAGGGTTGAGGGCTTGCCCGCCCCTCCTCCAGAAAAATTGCGCACATCGATATCATGTTCGGCTTGCGCGTCGGCGTGAGTATGCGCTGGGCCGCCCCAACCCCGATATCCTGAAACCTGTTGCAACCCTGCACACCCCCACAAGCTCCTACCCCGTGCACTGCCCTCCTTCAGTGGCCTCTGGATTCGAATCTTCGGCATTGGGTTCCTGGCTCCTGGAATTTAGGGCTTTGATGGTTCAGGTAGTTGGAGGCAGCAGTTGGGGCTTGGACTTTTGATGGGAAGAATAAACATCAAGGCGAAGCTGAGTCCAGTGGAAAGGGTGTTGTGCTCAGCCTTTCGTTCTTCTAGCCGTAGCTGTTTTCGCGTTGCTTGTTGTCGAGGCTTTGAGAACCCCAAACGTCGTTGCGAGGCATGAATCCCGCGGCTGAAAGTTTCTTACTGACTTTGGGCAGCTTCGCCCTACAGACCCGAACACGCCAAACACACTCATCCGGCAAGCCTCACTGGGCCAGCATGGCAGCGGCCCCTTATAGCCACCCTTGGCACAACACCGAAAAAGGTTGCAACCCTAAACCCTAAACCCTAAACCCTAAACCCTAAACCCGAAACCCCCAAACCCTAAACCCATGAATGCCCTGAGGGCGCTGCTAGATCACGTGCACCACATGGCGGCGAACATCTTTAAGTCGGCCCGGCGCCAAGAGTTTGATGAGTCTGATGGAGGTCGGGTCTGGGTTATAAGTTATAGGGCTTAATAGGGTTTAGTAGGGTTTATAAGGGATTATATGGGGTTTACATAGGGTTTACATAGAGTTTATATAGGGTTGATAGGGTTTACACCTTAGTTAGAGGGTGTGTTTTAGCGGCTCACGGGCCTGTACTGTATTGGGCGTTGGGGCTCAAGGAGGCCCCGCATCCTACACACATGTTTAGGGTTTAGGGTTTATAGGGTTTATAGGGTTTATAGGGTTTATAGGGTTTATAGGGTTTATAGGGTTTATAGGGTTTATAGGGTTTATAGGGTTTATAGGGTTTATAGGGTTTATAGGGTTTATAGGGTTATAGGGTTTATAGGGTTTATAGGGTTTATAGGGTTTATAGGGTTTATAGGGTTTATAGGGTTTATAGAGCCCCAAACGATTCCAGGAGCTCCCCGAGGCCGAAAGTCACCAAAAAAGACCTGCCCGAAGAATCTTGATTGTTCTCCTCCTCTATCTTCTTCTTCTTATTCTTCTTCTTCTTCTTCTTCTTATTCTTCTTCTTCTACTTCTACTTCTACTGCATCTCATGGTTTGTTTTTGCAGGGTTTTCCCGGGTTTAGGCATGCTCTGGGTAGCCCCAAACCCTAAACCCTAAACCTAAACCCTAAACCCAAACCCTAAACCCTAAACCCTAAACCCTAAAACCCTAAACCCTAAAACCCTAAACCCCAAACCCTAAACCCTAAACCCTAAACCCTAAACCCTAAACCCTAAACCCTAAACCCTCCATGGCCCAGATGGCGGCCTTGGGAACCCAAGCTTCGATGGCACAGACCGATGAGGCGCCGACCCAGTGCCCATGAAACCCTCGAAACGTGTTTAGGGTGTAGGGTTTAGGGTTTAGGGTGTAGGGTGTAGGGTTTAGGGTTTAGGGTGTTTTTGGGTTTAGGGGTTTAGGGTTCCCGTGGGGGGTTTAGGGGGGGGGGTAGGGGGGGGGGGGGGGGGGCGGGGGGGGGGGGGGGGGGGGGGGGGGGGGGGGGGGGGGGGGGGGGGGGGGGGGGGGGGGGGGGGGGGGGGGGGGGGGGGGGGGGGGGGGGGGGGGGGGGGGGGGGGGGGGGGGGGGGGGGGGGGGGTTGGGGGGGGGGGGGGGGGGGGGGGGGGGGGGGGGGGGGGGGGGGGGGGGGGGGGGGGTGGGGGGGGGGGGGGGGGGTGGGGGGGGGTGGGGGGGGGGGGGGGGGGGGGGGGGGGGGGGGTTGGGGGGGGGGGGGGGGGGGGGGGGGGGGGGGGGGGGGGGGGGGGGGGGGGGGGGGGGGGGGGGGGGGGGGGGGGGGGGGGGGGGGGGGGGGGGGGGGGGGGGGGGGGGGGGGGGGGGGGGGGGGGGGGGGGGGGGGGGGGGGGGGGGGGGGGGGGGGGGGGGGGGGGGGGGGGGGGGGGGGGGGGGGGGGGGGGGGGGGGGGGGGGGGGGTGGGGGGGGGGGGGGGGGGGGGTGGGGGGGGGGGGGGGGGGGGGGGGGGGGGGGGGGGGGGGGGGGGGGGGTGGGGGGGGGGGGGGGGGGGGGTGGGGGGTGGGGGGGGGGGGTGGGGGGGTGGGGGGGGGGGGGGGGGGGGGGGGGGGGGGGGGGGGGGGGGGGGGGGGGTGGGGGGGGGGGGGGGGGGGGGGGTGGGGGGGGGGGGGGGGGGTGGGGGGGGGGGGGGGGGGGGGGGGGGGGGGGGGGGGGGGGGGGGGGGGGGGGGGGGGGGGTGGGGGGGGGGGGGGGGGGTTTGGGGAGCAGGAGGCCTGGGACTGGTTGGGGTTGAGAGGTTCCAGCAAGTTTGAGGTTTACTACTGAGGGTGTTGGGTCTTCTTCAGAACATCTGGAGAAGTGTCTTGCTGCTTGTGCAGCTTCGGGATGTCTGCGTAGGGGGACCTAGGTATCAGTTTAGGGTTTAGGGTTTAGGGTGTAGGGTTTAGGGTTTAGGGTTTAGGGTTTAGGGTTTGCGGCAGTTGTCTTCTCAAGCTTTCTAGGGCAGAGGCTTTTACTTCCAGGTTGTTTGGGACCTCTTGCGTGTGTTGCAATGGGGGGGCCGGACAGGATGATGAGCACCGAGATAGCGCGGATGCATTCGGTACGGAGACGCGGCTTCTGGATCAGGCGCCTGAGATTCAGTAGGAAGGGTTTTCGGGTCAGCGAGTCTGTGCCTGGGATAGAACTGGTAGAATGCGGGGCTTGACAAAATTCAAAGGTTTTGGGGTTTGTGGCATTGAGGGCCACGCAGCCACTCCCACCGCTGGATTTGGCTAACCCTTGAACTGTGAAGACCTACCCTGATATCCTGCCAAAGCCCCAAACCTTGTCTTTCAAAGTCTAACCCTATAAACCCTATAAACCCTATAAACCCTATAAACCCTATAAACCCTATAAACCCTATAAACCCTATAAATCCTATAAACCCTATAAATCCTATAAACCCTTAGTCCCTAAACCCTTTGAACCCCTCAGCCTCAACCCTTATCCCCTCGCACGGCTGCCAGACGCTGAAGAAGGTCATTGCTTTGAGCGAGGGCCTCAGAGGGCAAGAGGGCCACGAAGCCCAAGCAGGAAGTGTAGGGTTCAGGGTTTAGGGTTTCGGGTTTAGCAGTTTCGGGTTTAGGGTTCAGGGTTTAGGGTTTAGCAGTTTCGGTTTAGGGTTTAGGGTTTAGGGTTTCGGGTTTAGCAGTTTCGGGTTTAGGGTTTAGGGTTTAGGGAAATTCCTAGAGGCGCCCCTAAAGCCCGCATGAGCTCCTCCTTTTGCAAATTGCAAGCAAGTCGTGGCATGAAGGAGTGCTCTGGGTTTGAGGGAGAAGTGGATTGTGGGCTGTGCGATGAGCGGGTTGGGGTTTAGGGTTTAGGGGTTAGGGTTTAGGGTTTAGGGTTTAGGGTTTAGGGTTTAGGGTTTAGGGTTTAGGGTTTAGGGTTTAGGGTTTAGGGTTTAGGGTTTAGGGTTTAGGGTTTAGGGTTAGGGTTTAGGGTTTAGGGTTTAGGGTCTAGGGTCTAGGGTCTAGGGTCTAGGGTCTAGGGTCTAGGGTTTAGGGTCTCGGATGTTAGGACGGCTACAGTCTCGAAGCTCAGCTGTGCGTTGCGGTGAGACGGCAACATTGTCCATGAACCACGTGCGCAACAGCCAGCAGCGCGTGGAGGGGCCAAGAAAGTCATTCTTCAAGGCATGAGCCCTTTTGAGACCCACGTGGATGAGACGGCATGGATACGAGAAGACGGGATTTTCGTGCCATGGTTATTTGACACAGTTGACACACCTTGCAGCCTTGCCCTAAAACCGAGAACTCACGAGTTCTTCATATCGGGAATTAGGGAATGAGGTATCTCAGAATATCCCCTCGTCTTGCCGACGAAGTTATTGTGCGGTCTACCCCTATTTCCCGACGAAGACCCAGTAAGACAAGAGAGCCCGAACAACTTGGAGCCTTCAGCCTTTAAGCAAACGATTGCTTGAGTGGAGAGGAGAATGTTTTTGAGCGTCCTTCATCACCCCTTAACCCTAAACCCCAACCCTTACACAAGAGGGAATAGAAGGTACCGGTTGCCGAATTCCCTATGAAGCTCACCCGGCCCGGCACTTCCATGCAAGACCCTGTGGTCCGCAAAAAATCCTGAGGCCATAAGCCCGAAGCCTAGGAGCCTGAACCCTATAAACTACTGTATGCTCAAGAGCCACCCTCCAAGAATGTTCTTCCTTGCAAAGGGCAATTAGGGCTTATTGGTTTTTTTGGGTGGGGGGGGGGGGGGGGGGAAGGTGTTCTAGGGGTTCTTCCCCAGAATTATAGTAAAGGCCCTAACATTCTTTCTGTTTTGCTGCTTATTTTTTTTTTGGGGGGGGTGGGGTTCTTAGTTACAAGTAGAGTAAAGGCCCCAAACCTTAAAATCCGAAACCCCAGGCAAGATCACGGTGAAGAAGTCGCCGATCGACTCGGACTCCCTGAGGAGGCGGCCTTGCTGCGCGTTTCTCTAGTAGCCCTAAACCCTAAACCCTAAACCCTAAACCCTAAACCCTAAACCCTAAACCCTAAACCCTAAACCCTAAACCCTAAACCCTAAACCCTAAACCCTAAACCCTAAACCCTAAGCCCTTGCTGTCTTCCACCATCCCAGAATTTCGGAAGCCTAAGCCTTCAAGAGCTCTGCATGGGTACCCCAAAGCCCTTCGCCCTCGACTAAACCCAATGGAGGTTTCAGGTTTCCTCACGGTTGAAAGTGTTTAGTGTTTAGGGTTTAGGGTTCAGGGTTCAGGGTTTAGGGTTTAGGGTTTAGGGTTTAGGGTTTAGGTGTGCTTGGGGAGGACCATAGGCTTGAAGCCCTTCAAGCTGAAACCCCCAAGTTCCCACTGCCCTAAACCCTAAACTGTAGAGCCAAAACCCTAAACCCTGATCCCTAAACCCTAAACCCTAAACCCTAAACCCTAAACAGCCGAGGCTAGGTGGGGGTGGCGATCTCCAGTGGTCCTGGCCTTGGCAGCTGACTGGCGACAGCCCGATGGCCTTTAATTTACCCTTAGTTGCTGAGTAGTACACTTTAGGGTTTAGGGTTTAGGGTTTAGGGTTTAGGGTTTAGGGTTTAGGGTTCAGGGTTCAGGGTTCAGGGTTCAGGGTTCAGGGTTCAGGGTTTAGGGTTTTACACTTTTTGGGACACTAGAATCCCTATAGAACTGACAGTGTACACTTTTTTGGGGCTTATGGACTCAAGCAACTAAGTACTCTCCACTCGCAAGTTAGGTTGCCAAGCGCCAAAGACTATACCAGTCTTTGCTTGCTCACCTTGCAGGGGGTTTAGGGTTTAGGGTTTGGGGTTTAGGGTTTAGGGTTTAGGGTTTAGGGTAGAGTGCTTGCTGGAGCGCCTTCCCGTGTACGCATGGTACTGGTAGAGTCGCATGGTATGGTCGAAGTGTGTGTGACAGCCGTCTCAGCCTCACTGTCATCGTCACTTGCTACATGCTCCTATTGAAAGAGGACAGCCGGAGCATCCTCGGCACAGATGTAGCACTTGCTGGGACTGACACGAAGCCCCTCTCAGCATTGAGGTCTGGGACTGTTTTGGTTGTTTGCCCTGCCCGAGGTGTCACCCGAGACTGCTGTCAGAAACTCCCTAATCCCTTAAAGCCTTCAGCTTCTAGCCAAAGCTCTTGTGGAGAATCAAGTCTGCAGGCTGGCAGTCTACACTCGATATAGTCCATTCACAAGCTCTCCACAGACTCATCTACATCCCCAAGTTCTCGCGCACTTGCCGCATCCACCACTTTGAAAACCGAACTCCGAGGGTGGCGGTATTTTTTCCGTAGTTTTTTCCGTTTTTTTTGTAGTTTTTTTCCGGCCGTCTGGCCCAGCAAGCAAGCAAGCAAGTAAGCAAGTGAGCCAGCAAGCAAGCAAGGAAAACAAGCAACGGTACCAGCAAGCAAGCAATCAAGCAAGCAAGCAAACAAGCAAGCAGGCAAGCAAGCAAGCAAGCAAGCGAGCAAGCGACCCCCCGCTTTTTTAAGCTAAACCCTAAAACCTAAACCCTAAACCCTACACCCTAAACCCTACACCCTAAACCCTAAACCCTAAACCCTAAACCCTAAACCCTAAACCCTAAACCCTAAACCCTAAACCCTAAACCCTAAACCCTAAACCCTAAACTAAACCCTAAATAAACCTAAACCCTAAACCCTAAACCCTAAACCCTAAACCCTAAACCCTAAACCCTAAACCCTAAACCCTAAACCCTAAACCCTAAACCCTAAACCCTAAACCCTAAACCCTAAACCCTAAACCCAACCCCCCCGCTTTTTAGCTTCTTTCAAAGCATGTGAATTTTGAAACCCATCATGCAAGCAAGCAAAACTCATCATGCAAGCATTGAGTTTGCCAATGGGGAGGGCTGCCCCCCCCCCCCCCCCCCCCCCCCCCCCCCCCCCCCCCCCCCCGCCCCCTCCCCCCACCACACCCCCACCCCCCCCCCCCCCCCCCCCCCCACACCCCCCCCCCCCCCCCCACCCCCCCCCCACCAACCCCCCCCCCCACCCCCCCACGCTGCTGCGCACCCCCCCCCCCCCAACCCCCCCGCTTTTTTAAGCTAAACCCTAAAACCTAAACCCTACACCCTAAACCCTACACCCTAAACCCTAAACCCTAAACCCTTAACCCTAAACCCTTAACCCTAAACCCTAAACCCTAAACCCTGGGTATATAGGGTTTATAGGGGAGGGCTCAGTACCCCCTCGACAGAGGGGGGAAGCCAAGAGGTTCCCGACCAGCAAGCCAGAAAAAAACTACAAAAAAAACGGAAAAAAACTACGGAAAAAAATCCCAGCCCCTTAACTCCGAGCCCTCCAACGCTTCAAGACCCAGGCTTCAGGCTTACTCCACGGACGCTGGTCTTGGCGAGGTGGGGCGCTGGAGGGAAACGTGGCTACGCCTTTTGGGGTTTCAGGGAATCGTGGGCTTGACGTGGGCAAGGCAAGGGGCCCTCCGTGGGCTTAAAGCCGTGGGTCTCGGCTTTCGGCAGACTCGCCTGCTTTGCAGTTCCGGGGTCCGGGCCAGCACAGGCTCGCGCAAAGATCGAAACCTCTTTGAGCCTATACGCCCTGAAGAGCTCGACCCCCAAGGCCTTCTGAGACTCCATCGATGTTTTACAGGGCCCAACCCTGGAGCGAACCTCGGTTTAGGGTGTAGGGTTTAGGGTTTAGGGTTTAGGGTTTAGGGTTTAGTATAGGGTGAATCGCCAGGTCATCAAAGAAAATGCCGAGCTGCTGGACGACATGGGATTGCTGGAAGCGGACGCCGCGGTGCCAGAATGGGTGAATAAATGATGTACTTGCAATAGCGATTGAAATATTCTTTCCGCCAGATTTTTTGTGTACAAAAAGCAACGAAGAAGAAATGCCAGTAATAGTAGTAGTGCCCTAGAACCTAAACCCGAAACCCGAAAGCCTACACAACCCCTGAAGCTCCAACCAGACGCCCAAGCCCTGAGCGCATCGTTCGCCTCCCAGGTAGCATCATCAACGTGGAGGTTCATGGGTACTTCTAACCCCAGTCAGAACTGTACTTAGAAGTACCCTAATTACCCCAGGTAGGTACAAGTAGACCCGAAGTGGGGGTTATAAGTACCCATGAACCTCCAAGACGCAAACGAGCTGAAGGACGCACACACATTCCCCATACCCTGAACCTGTGGTGTAGGTCTAGGATTCCCAGTAGGACCCTCATTCCCTTTTTGGGCAGCTTAGAGATTTTAGGTTTAGGGTTTACAGGGTTTAGGGTTTAGAATCCCTACACATCCGACCCCCCTCGAAAGCTTCTCCAGCCTCATCGAAGAGCGTTTGGCCTTCAGAGTTCAGGTGTAGGTCCGGCTCTGCCTCAACCCCATACCCTAAACCTTTTCATCTAAGCTGTACATATACATATATATATATATATATCTATACGTATGTGTATACATACCCTACCCCCCCCCCCCCCAAAAAAAAAAAAAAAAAAAAAGAAGAAACAGCACACACACACACAAAAACAAACAAAATCAACAAAGCAACGAAGAAACGACGCACCCTACATACATGTACATGTGTATGTAGATGTGCGTATGCATAGGTGTGTATATATATATATATGTATATACATATGAATGTGTATGCGTGTCAACGAATATATGCAAACTAATATCCCGAGGTCCAGGATTTGGCGATCACGATTGAGACGAAGATGACTGAGGCCAGTGAGGATTTTGTTTGCTTGAGGTGGTTGTTCCTAAACCCTAAACCCTAAACCCTAAACCCAAACCCTAAACCCTATGTAAGCCCCGAAGGTTAACCACCTGATGCGTCCTAACACCCTCCCAAAAGAGAGAGAGAGAGAGAGAGAGAGAGAGAGAGAGAGACTGGGACCATGCCCTATGTGACCCCCTGGTTCTTCGTGGGGAATGAGGGAACGAGGGCCCTCTATATACATATTTATACGTGTACGTATATATATATATATATGTCCATACACATATATATATATATACACATATCTATACGTATGTATATATATATATACATATATATATGTATATACATATATATATATATACATACATATATATATATATGATTTGTGTATTTTTGTTATTTATTTGTTGACTTCCCTCATTTACTACTAAGAACCAGCCAGATGAGGCTGCTCGCTAGACCAAAACCGGCCCACAGACTTTGAAGCCTTACGAGCCGAAGCCTCTGGTTGAAGACTTGAGGAGGGTCAGGGGTCGGAGTTAAGGCAGCAGACTTCGCATGACTCGTTTAGGGTGCACAGTTTAGGGTTAAGGGTTAAGGGTTAAGGGTTAAGGGGCGTTTAGGGTTCCAGTTTGCCTTGTTGTGCTGCAAAACCCGATATGAAGTGCATCACCAACTATCCACGGCTGAAGCCAGCACAGCGGGGCAAGGGCAGTTCTTTGCTACGAACTGCCCTAATCCCTAAACCCCAAACCCCAAACCCTAAACCCTTGCAGGTGAGCATTAGCTGGGACACCTTCTCTCGCAGCGGGCTGAGATGGGGCCTTCGCTTGGCCAATATCCGACAAGGGTTTAGGGTGTAGGGTTTAGGGTGTAGGGTGTAGGGTTTAGCGTGTAGGGTGTCGGGTTTTTAGGTTTTTATGGTTTTTAGGGTTGTTAGGCTGTTTAGGGTTTTAGGGTTTTTAGGGTTTTAAGGGTTTTTAGGGCGTTTAGGGTTTTAAGGGTTTTTAGGGTTTTTAGCGTTTTAAGGGTTTTTAGGGTTTTTAGGGTTTTTAGGGTTTTTAGGGTTTTTAGGGTTTTTAGGGTTTTTAGGGTTTGCGGCTTCAGGTTTCCGCGGTTTTGTGCTTCCGGAAATCAGCCCCTTCAAGGGCCCCTTCAAGTTCTACTGCCCCCAGAGGCCCCAGCCCTCTGGAAACCGTTAGTTCGAGTCCAGGCTAAGCCCGAAGCCTCAAGAATGTACCCGGTTCTCCTCCCTAACCACCCCGTAAACCCTGTAATGCCTATAACCCCTGAAACCCTAAACCACATAAACCCTATAAACCCTATAAAGACACTGTGAAAACTCATGAAAACCCTCTAAACCCTACAAACCCTTTACCCTATAAACAACTCCTTAACCCTATAAACCCTCCAGCTTGCTCGGGCCCAGTTTGGGAGCTGGACACCGTGGGCCTCACCGACAAGGAGAGTCAAGAATCCACCCTGAGCGCGTCGGCAAAACCCAAACATGTCAGAATTTCAGGGTTTAGGGTTTGGGGATCTACGTGGGGGACCCCCCAGAAGGGAGCCCGTTTTCTTATATAGCCCATCTTACATTGGAGTGGGAGCTGTTGTGGTGGGGGTTCAGGCGGCCCTTCACGATGGAATTTTTGAAAGGAGGCCCGTAGGTCTCTCATGTTCATGGCTAGGTGCCCTAAACCCTAAACCCTAAACCCTAAACCCTAAACCCTAAACCCCAAACCCCAAACCCCAAACCCCAAACCCCAAACCCTAAACCCTAAACCCTAAACCCTAAACCCTAAACCCTAAACCCTAAACCCTAAACCCTAAACCCTAAACCCTAAACCCTAAGCTGCGGTTGGAAATGGCCCAGTTCGGCCCGAACTTCCTAAGCCCTAGAAGCCCCTGCTCTAGCCGAAGCTCCCTGCAGCCCAGACCCTAAACCCTAAACCCTAAACCCTAAACCCTAAATGCCCCAAAGCTTGAAGCCGCAGTCCTTGGAGGAGCAGGATCGCAGAAGCCTCTCCCCTAAACATGGCTGTCTCAGCCCCAAATCCTTGCACAACCTACCCCTACTTGGAGGTTCAGGGGACTTGTAACCCATCTCTGTACTTATAAGCCCCCGAAGTCCCCTAAGCAGGTTATTCGTAGACAAAATAACTGTGGCGATACGTACCCATGAACCTCCAAGTAGCCGAAGCTAGGGCTGAGCTTGCTGGCCCTGATAGGCTTGGTAGCCCCGTGGTACCCTTTACCCTTTTTGTCTTTGGTTATGGGGTTCCGTTATAAAGTAACCAACCCAAAGAAGGGTGCCCTTCTTAAAGTATGGCTACTGGGCTACTAAGTAGGGCTCAAGTGTAGGGCCCCCACTCGCAGGATCGGCACAATCTGAATCTCTGCCTCTTCTTCAGCCGCCGAGCCACCTCGATCCGGGACAAGGCACCCAAGAGGGGCACCCGGGAATGACTTCGCTAGACCTTCCATGGCGGATTGAAGCTGAATTAGGCTGAATTTGGGTTTTTTATAGGGTTTGGCAGGTTTTTGTCGGGTTCATAGGGTTTTTGCGGCCTCTGTGGGGGTTTTATAGGGGGGCTGAGGGTCAATGGCATTGAGAAGGTGAAGCAAAGCACACAGACTTCAGGGAATTGTATAGGTTTTAGGCTACCTGGATTTCGGTCTGGGCTACCTGGATTTCGGTTTTGTAGGGTTTACAGGGTTTATAATGCGGTTTACGGGGTGTATAGGTTTTTGCAGGGTTTCTAGGGTTTAGGCAGCAACCTGCCTGTGCCCCTGACGAGACGGTGGCGACCGCAGAGTGGCTGGAGCGTTGGGGGCCTCAGCTTGGTGTCCTCCTTCCAGGATGGGCTATTAGGCCCTAGAATCCCCACAACCAAACCTATAAAGGACCTTTTTAAGGGGTTCTAGGGTAAAATAGCCCGTCCTGTTTCGTGGCTTGAGTGGTAGCGTTTGGTTGCTTGGGGTTGGGTTTTTGTTGGGGCTTTAGGGTGTTCGGGGCCTAGGGCTTGTTAGGCTTTAGGGTGTTTAGGTCTCTGAATGCTGGCTCTGGGGTGTTTAGGTCTCTGAATGCTAAAGTATAATCTCCAAGCCACGACACCCGAGGCTGCGGTAACTTCCTTGAGGAGTGCCAGAGTGGCTACGATTCGGGCAAGCGGGGGCCTTTCACCTTATTGTCGATTCGAGAGTTTGCTACTATTTGCTTAAGAATCCCCCCAAAAATAAGAATGCTTCCTTAAGAATAAGGGTAACATAGGGATTATTATCTTTTGTTTCTTGGGGGGTTCTTAGCCAAATAGTAGTTTTGGGCTTTAGAGCTTTCTGGTTTCGCGTGCGTGAGCTGCTTGGCACATGGAGAGCTGTCAGTAAAGGGTCGTCGTATTCGTGTTCCTTGGCTCAGCAGCTCATTTTCAAGGCTCGAAACCAGGGTGGCGGAGGGGTAGCTGCTCCCAGCCCTGGGCCTCCTCAGTAGTACAAGGTTGGAAAATAGAGTCCCCCCAAATAGTAGGATCCCATAAACGTACCCCTACTTTCGGAAACCCCCAAATGCTTCAGATTAGAGCATGTAAGCCCCAAAGCCCGAACTTCTTCAGGTGCTGCCAGGTTTGAATACTTGCCAAGGCTTTGCGGCTTGGGGCATCCGTCATACCTTTAGGGTTTAGGGTTTAGGGCGCCGCGAATTTGCGCCCATGTCCTGCTGCTCCTTGGGGAAGTCTCCGACGCTCCTGGAGCTGTATGCCAGGTCGCTGCCTGAGGACATCAGCGTCGCTGGGCCTTATCAGGTATCTATACCTAATGGCGAGTGCGAGAAGTCCGCCAACAGGGAGCCACACACTCCTGTTGTGTTTCGTGGGACCCTTACGTGACTTTATCTGTTTCGCGCGTCACTACATATATATATATATATATATATATTTTTTATTTATTATATTATATATATATATATATATATATATTATACTATATTGTAATATAAATCAATAAATAAATAAATATATATATATATATATATATTTATATTTATATTTATATTTATTTATTTATCACTTCATTGCTTACAAACCAAGAATCCCCAGTCATCAAAACACCCCCCTCCCATCCTTCAACTCAAGGTGTTACGCGGTTATATGAAACAGGGTTTATCTTGTTGTTATTGGTGATGGGACGCACCACCACGGTGGCTCCACGGTCCGCTGAAATGAAATGAAATGTTATTGGTGAGTGTATATCGAGTTCCCTATAAGCTACAAGTTGGTGAGGGTATACATTGTGTCTCCTTTTGGGGATACGGTAGTATGAATAAAGTAAACCCTACTGCAAACAAGTTACGGCTTGTAGATGTGTCACACCTCGAGTTGGAGATGAGCTATACGCGGAGAATCTGATGTCGGGTGTTTTGACCGATCATCAAGTACTACTCCTCGCTTCTCAGACTTGTTGTTTGTAATGGGTACATCTTAGACAGAAGGACTCGTAATCAATCTACCAAGCCACCACTCCCTCCAGCCCAGAACAATGCCCCGGTGTATAGCAGCACCACTATTTCGTTGATTCTCGCATGTTGCGTAAATGCCACAGGATGCAGGAGGGGTGGAAGTCATGTACCCATCGAAACAGTGATTGCTGTAGGAAAATCATTTGAGATTGGTTGAGAGTCTGGCCATGCTGCTGGAGCCTGGATATGTTGCAGCGATTGATCGCAAAACGGTGAGTACGTCCATTGTTCTTGGACCCCAGTGTCCTTTTTCATCTGCCTGTGTTTTCCAAGGGCAGCTTTGTTTTAGAGATCCTTGCCGGACTCTGTCCTGGTCGCCCTACTGCACTCCACTCCACTCCACTCCTCTGTACCGTTGCGCATTTAAAAAAAACATCGCGGTACATTCTCGCTCCGCCCACGTTCTGGTGACGAAGAGGGGCCAGCGACTCAACACAAGAGGCAAAGTCAGCCTCGGCCTCGTGTGCCCCCCCGGAACACCAACTGAATCCTAAACCCTAGCAAGCTTACCCATGTTTATTCTTAAGTATACTTTCGTAATGCGTGCTACTTGAGGAAAAGAAGGGGAGTGACTTGGGGGAGGGCTTATATCATGGCGGGGGGGGATGGCCTTCTCCTGGCCTTCTCCAGGCCCTCCGGTTCTATCCAAACTATCCAAATCTCAGATAGAATGGGTCTGAAATGTCTGAATACGTATATAATCCCTTAAGGCCCTGGGTTCATGAGGGGAGAGCCTCGAAACTTTACATGCTGTAGACATTTCCGATGGTTCAGGCCCTGGTACCAACATTTTCAGCATCAGAACCTTAGATCTGTTGAGCGCTTCTTGGGGCCGTCTCGATCTATGCAAACTCAAGGTAGCTTGGATACCAATTGGGCCTGTGGGCCGCTTAAGGTGATTGACTAGGAAGTTGGTAGGGAAGGGCGAACATCCCAAAGCCAAGGAAGGGCCCAGGCAGGCTATAGTATTGAAACCCTCTGAAGTTTAGGGTTTAGGGTTTAGGGTTTAGGGCTTAGGGTCATATACCGAGTTTAGTCTGCGCGGGAGGACTGGCTCAGCTAGTACATCTATCTCTCGAGCTTTGATAGATTATCCGGAGCTTCGCTGTTGGTGTCAACTTTTCGAAGTACAGTATGGCCCTGTTAAGGGATGGCCTATCTGTCGCTTATCTGGTTTGGGCCTTATCCGAATCATTGACAACTATTAAGTAAACCTTGAGATTAGCTTAGGCAGTTTGAAGGGAGCCCAGACTTGCTAGAGGATTTTCCACGCATGACCTCACAACTCAAAAGCCTAAACGGCTCAAGCAGCTTAGGATCTAGTTCGAGCCTGGGCATTTTCCAAAACCATCAAGAGATCTGTAGATACTTTTATATTTAGCTGTTTAAACTGTCTAGGCCCTTACCTGCACTATGTAAGCGGCTGGAAATTTTCAAGGTTCAGAATGGTTCAAAAGGTCTGGAGAATTTTGTCGTCTGTTTCTTTTTTTGCCGGGCCCTTCCCAAGCTACGCGGGATGTTTTCTAGCCAAACGATCTGAATTCTAGATCGTTCTGAGGCCTGGGTTCAGATTGTTCTTCAGAATCCCGGGAAGGGCCCTAAACCATGATATTAGTGTTTTGGGATGCATGTAATAGGGGGCCTAACAGCGTGAATCTCAGGCTCCGATGCTGTTCCCCATGTACACAGTAGCCATCGACGTCTTGCTCAACATGAGGGAGATCAAGCCACACGAGGAGTTGAAGGCCTGAGGGCTCACAAAGCATGGGGCCTCCCCTTTCCTGGCTGAAAGCCATATACCAAAAAACCCTAAACCCTAAACCCTAAACCCCAAACCCTAAACCCTAAACCTTTATACTGTTTCGTGCAAACGATCTTTCTTGTGTCTCAAGGCTGAAGGCTCTCTAGGCGGGGGCCCCCACCTCCCCCCCCCCCTCCCCCCAGAATCCCCGAAGCTGTGCACTCTGTCGAAGGCCCAGGGCGATCTCACCGTCTTCGATGGCTCTGGAAGAGCGGCTTTCGTGTCACACCAGTGGGCCTCGAAGAAGCACCCAGACCCCGACTTCAGACAGATGCAAGTATTGCAGGATGCTTTGAGGGGGCTCTTGGACGGCATCAAGACGGTGCCTGTGAATTTGGCAACGGAGACATATCTGCTTGACCACAGGCCTCTTCTGGTGGATGTGCAAGACGTGTTCATTTGGTACGACTTCTTTTCCTGCCCACAGCTAGAGCTGCGAGCAGCTTCTCCCTCACGCCAGAGTGAGCAGGCCAAAGCCATCAACAGCATCCCGGCGTACGTAGCCAACTGCCGCTTTTTCTTCGCCGTGTGCCCAGTGCTCGACTGCCCCTCAGAAGCGAGGGTTTTGAGCGCCGCAACATGGTCAAAGCGGGGTTGGTGCCGCAATCTGGATCGGTTTTGGAAATCCTCTGTTTGTTTTGGTGAAGTAAAGTATGATCCTGAATGATCTTGACATGTAGACAGCATTGTGTTTTTTCAGGCTTCCAAAAACAGCACAGGAGTAGAACGTGCTGCGCGTGAGCTGTCTCAAGACAGCACCTGGATCCTGGTTCAGAGCAGCTCTTCTGTCCAAGTCGTGGGCACTGCACTCTCCTTTGGCATGGGGTCTGTGGGCGAAGGTGAGTTCACAATGGAGGAGGATCGCCAAAAGCTCGCGCCCGTCATGAAAAGTATTTTGATGTGCAAATTGCTGCAGTGTTTGCGAGACGGCGACTTGCCTGCATTCCGGCGCTACCTCAACATGCAAAGCGTGCACCTGAGGGGACTTGACATCGAACCTGTGGGAGGCCTTCTGCCAGTCATCTACACGGATGCAGCAGCAGACTTCTTGCACCAGAATGGCTTGGCGAGGGTTGAGAAATCAGACAAGGCAGGGTGGTGGCCACTGCATTACGCCGCGTTGTCCGGCAAAGCCGAAGTCATCCAGGGCCTCCTACAGATGCGGGCTGCTGTGAACCAGCGAACCTCACGGGATGAGCCGATGCTGGGCATTCCCCCATGGGTGTCAGCACTGGACCTGGCAGTGTTTTGCAAAAACAATGAGGCAGCGCAGCTGCTGATCAGCTCCGGAGCCCACTTGAAGGGTGGAGTGTTGCCCGCCATCAACCATGTGGCTGTCTCAGACAATGCGGAAGGGATCCGCCTACTGCGTGCTGCAGGCAGCAGTCCACAGGATAGGGACCTCATGGGGGGCAGCGCCTTGCAGGGTGCAGCGGGATGTGGCTCTGTGGCAGTAGTGGAGGAGCTCGCAGTGCAGGGGGAAACGGACTCGCTGGAGCTGTCGGTTGCGCTTCACTATGCTGCACTTCTTCGAGGCGGATCGGCGGAGCTGGTTCACCGTCTCATTGAGCTGAGAGCAGATGTCAACTTTCAGCTCAACATGCGGCGCGAACTCAAGCCGCTGGGCCGACTGCTCTTTGGACTGAAGTCACTGCAGCACCGGCGAGGCCGCAAAAGCGCTCTGTCGACCGTCGCCTACCACCTACATGGCAGCACGCCCCTCATGGTGGCCGTGCTGACGGCTCAATACGAAGCTGCTGCAGCCCTGATAGCTGCCGGTGCCAAGTTGGACATGCGGAATTGCCGCAACTGGACGGCGGCCGATTTTGCCAGAGGCGCGGCCATCCCGCCCTTTCTGCAGCAGGGCCTGGCGGGAGACCCATCAGAGTGCCGGAGAGTGGCCTCAATGGCCGGCGGCTAGGGGGCTAGGCATGGCTTCTGATGGCCCTTTTTGATGACATCAGTTTGAATGCATTTTGTTCCCCAAACCCTAAACCCTAAACCCTAAACCCTAAACCCTAGACCCTATAGACCCTATAGACCCTATAAACCCTGCACCCTAAACCCTAAACCCTAAACCCTAAAACCCTATAAACCCTATAAACCCTATAAACCCTAAACCCTAAAAACCCTAAAAACCCTCAAAACCCTAAAAACCCTAAACCCTAAACCCTAAAGGCTCTTTTTCATATGCATTTTGTTTCATTTGGCTTTTCAACTTGGCCGGCCAAGCCGGCAGCTGCCATGAGCCGCCTCGGGACATGAACACCCCCATCTCTCTCAATCCTCACACTCGACATCGTTAAACCCTATACATTATTTGTTATTCTTAGTATTATCGTTATTGTTGTGATTATCATATTTTTTCTTTTTTTATCAATTATTATTGCTGATTCTATTATTATCAAGTATGCCACAAAACCCGAAGCCGTTGACCTCGACTCCTTGGCGGATGTCTAATGGATTCCATGGATGTCGAGAAAGGTCTGAGAGGTCCTGTGCTGCAGTGAGTAGTGTCTGACTCCCTAAACCCTAACCCTAAACCCTAAACCCTAAACCCTAAACCCTAAACCCTAAACCCTAAACCCTAAACCCTAAACCCTAAACCCTAAACCCTAAACCCTAAACCCTAAACCCTATCCCAATTTGAACTTTGTAGGTCTTGCTTCCCCGGCCCCCGAGGATCGCACCCTACCACACGTGGCTCCATGCCGTCCGATGCCCCAGTGCAGCTGCTTCGGCGTTTCAGTTTTAGGGTTTAGGGTTTAGGGTTTAGAGTTTAGGGTTTAGGGTTTAGGGTTTAGGGTTTAGGGTTTAGGGTTTAGGAATGCCACGTCACCTCCTAGATTCCCTTCATGGCCTACACACCCTGTCACTGTGCTGAGTGTTGCTTGAAGCCATTTAAGCCTAAACCGGAACCGTAAAGTCTGACCCCTAAACCCTAAACCCTAAACCCTAAACCCCAAACCCTGAACCCTGAACCCTGAACCCTGAACCCTGAACCCTAAACCCTAAACCCTAAAAACCCTAAACCCTGTAAACCCTGTAAACCCTGTAAACCCTGTAAACCCTGTAAACCCTGTAAACCCTGTAAACCCTGTAAACCCTGTAAACCCTGTAAACCCTGTAAACCCTGTAAACCCTGTAAACCCTGTAAACCCTGTAAACCCTGTAAACCCTGTACACCCTGTAAACCCTGTAAACCCTGTAAACCCTGTAAACCCTGTAAACCCTGTAAACCCTGTAAACCCTGTAAACCCTGTAAACCCTAAACCCTGAACCCTGAACCCTATAAACCCTAAACCCTATAAACCCGAAACCCTAAATAACCCTAAACCCTAAACCCTAAACCCTAAACCCTAAACCCTAAACCCTAAACCCTAAACCCTAAACCCTAAACCCTAAACCCTAAACCCTAAACCCTAAACCCTAAACCCTAACCCTAAACCCTAGCTCCTACAAAGCAAGCCCGGATTCCTGGAGGTGGACGCAACCTACACACTGTACCGAATCATCAGCCTCATTGCTGCGGACGGGGGTTTTGTGCTTGTCGTGATGCCGAGGTTTAGGGTTGAGGGTTGAGGGTTTAGGGTTTAGGCTTAACCTAAAGGTCCTGTTCGGCGTTGTTCATCACCCCATAGCTGCCCGCGCAGCTTCAAGTAAAACTGTCTTAGTTGAGGAGTTCAGGTTCTGAAACCCTAAACCCTAAACCCTAAATCCTAAACCAGTTGAGGAGTTCAGGTTCTGAAGAGCTGCAAGCGGGGGTTCGGTCAGGACTTTATCACGTCTAAGATTGGCCGTGAGGCCTGGAAAAAAAGGCCATTTAGGGTGCCCTAAACCCTTAACTTCCCAAGCCCCCTAAACCCTAAACCCTAAACCCTAAACCCTAAACCCTAAACCCTAAACCCAGTTTTTGGGAGCTTTTTGGTGGGTTGGGTTTGGCGGTTCAGGGATCTGAGCCGTCCATGCACCCCACGATGCCAAAACCCAAAAGGGGTTTACAGAAATAGGGTTTAGGGTTTTAGGGTTTAGGGTTTAGGGTTTTAGGGTTTAGGGTTTAGGGTTTAGGGTTTAGGGTTTAGGGTTTAGGGTGTAGGGTTTTAGGGTTTGGGGTTTAGGGTTCAAGGTTTAGGATTTAGGATTTAGGCTCCAAAATAGTCGGAGTCCCGAATAAGGACCCCAATAAGGGACCCCTAATCTCGGAAACCCCCCCCCCCCCCCCAAATCGTGTTTTTTGGGGCTGCCCTATTTTGAGACGAAGCAGGCTACCAGAGGAACCCATGTGTCACGCCAGCACCGCGCTAGGAGCAGTACCTGGGTCATCTGGAATGCCGCTGCCCTGGGTTCCATGCAACGTATACGGGTAGTTCTCTGAATTAGGGTCCCTTATTCCTAAACCCTAAACCCTAAACCCTAAACCCTAAACCCTAATGCCGTATTTCGAGAACTACCCAGCAGGGTGTCTCCCCTGAAAAGGATGGCACAAGCAGACAGAGCCCGCAAGCTTTGCACCCGAAAAGTCTTCAACACACCGGCTTCTGAGATCTGCCTCGCCCGGTCGAGCCCTCAATCCTTCAATATGAGCAACAATGACCAGGATAGTAAGTATAGGAATGTACTCATGACAACAAACTACGGAAATTAAGAACCTCCCCCCGTTGGCCCAAGGCCTCGGCGGATTGCAGGAAAAATGCGTGCGATGAGCCAGACGAAGGAAATCGCAGCGACAGAAAGTGCTGCTGCTTCGGAAGGTAAGTCCAGAAATGTCGAATCTGAGACTGAGACTGTTTCGAATAAGGTGACAAAGGACGAAACGAGGCCTGCGATGACAACGAATGTGTTGTTGTTGAAATTTCACCAAGTGCCAGAACACAAGGAATCTGACTAACGGCCGAAAGACAGGTGACATCTCACTTAGTGCCATAACACGGGTGAAGTCTTACTAGGTACCTGCAAACGGGTGAAATATTCTAAAGTGCCAGAGTGTGGGGCATACAGGGTTTCGGGTTGTGGGTTTCGGGTGTCAGAACCCTCTAGCCTCAACACCGAAGAAGCGACAAAAAAATCACTCCCAAGTCTCCCCTCTCGAGCATGCCCTCATCCGCAAACTCCAAGTCTCTAGCACAAGAATCCTCAATCCTGAAGCCCTAAACCACTGCAGTCCCCCTAAGAATGCCTGAGCTCCCTCAAACACCATATAAAAAAAAGCCTAAGCACCAAAATCACCCCGAGAGTCCCAAATCCCCCCCCTCCCCCTCCCCAAAAAACCCATAAAGCACGAGCAGCCTCTCCGAGCGAACCAGGCTTTGGCATACTGGTGGCGGCCATCGCGCACGATATGGGCTCCTCGGATCTTGTTTAGGGTTCATAGAATTCATATCAAAGGGTTGCGGGTTCAAGTTTTGGGGGGTTTGGGGGGTTTTTGAAGCTTCTGGGCTGTTTCCGGGCGTAGCGGTTTGGAGCTTGGCCTGGGACCATACACTTCTCAGATCTTTGATCGAAAAGGGTTCAGGGTTCGTTCACGTGATCATGGGCTTGCGCGGCTTGGGCTTCAGGTGCTCAGGGACTGTGGCAAATAGCTAGACAAGCAAATGCAGGAAGAATACTAGCAGAATAAGTATAGGCAAGTAAATGCGTTATTTAGATATACAAACCAAAGCCCCTTTGAGGATACAACAGACAGAAGATATGGGACACCTAGCGCGTCAGAGGATAACCTGGCCCTAAGCTCCCCAAACCCTGAACCTAAACTCTAAACCCTAAACCGTTGCGGCGTGTACCCTGAACTACGCCCCAATAAGTCTGCAGGTTAGGTTTCACCATGTCCATGCGCCTGGATGTGGCGCCCCTGAGCGGAGACAGCCGTGCAGTTGAAGTGGATCCTTCGGATTCCCTGGATGACCTTAGGCAGAAGGTGCAGCGAACTTTTCGCATTGCGCACTGTCTCCTGCTGGGCCCTGACGGACAAGTTCTTGTCGGAGCATGCACTGCAGAAGGGGCCGGTTTGCGGGCACGAGACACCTTGCAAGTGGTCGTGAGGCAGACAGTTGTCGCTTCATGCTGGAATGAAGACAACAGGTTCGCCACAAAGGGAGCCTTCGCTGCTATCCGTGGCGATGGATCAGTGTCGACTTGGGGTCATGATGAACATGGTGGTGACAGCAGTGCTGTTCACGATCAGCTGATGCATGCCCAACCTCGGCAGATCCAGTCTTCCGATTCTGCATTCGCAGCAATCCTGAGAGACGGCTCTGTCGTGACGTGGGGATGTGCGCACTCGGGTGGTAGCAGCCTTGCTGTCCGGTTAGTACTTAAGGATGTGCAGCAGATCCAAGCTACTGGAATCGCCTTTGCTGCTGTGCTGTCCGGTGGCTCTGTGGTAACGTGGGGGCATAGGGAATGCGGTGGTGACAGCAGCCGTGTCAGCGACAAGCTGCGGAACGTGTCGAAAATCCAGTCTTCCCGCTATGCATTCGCTGCAGTGTGCAGCGATGGCTCTGTAGTAACATGGGGCAACATGTTGTTTGGTGGTGACAGCTGCAAAGTTCAGCAGCAGTTGAAGAATGTCCAAGACATCCAGTCAACCTATGCTGCATTTGCTGCAGTTCTCGCCGACCGCTCTGTTGTGACGTGGGGTCAGCCTTCGTGTGGTGGTGACTGCAGCAGCGTGAAAGAGCAATTAAGGAATGTGCAAAAGATCCAGGCGACTGTTCATGCCTTTGCTGCACTTCTCACCGACGGTTCTGTGGTGAGTTGGGGCAATGTTGGCTTGGGTGGGAACAGCAGTTCAGTCCAAGAGCAGCTGAAGAATGTTAAGGAGATCCAGTCTACCGAAAGCTCCTTTGCCGCAATCCTCTCCAACGGCTCTGTGGTGACATGGGGTGAGAGTAGAGCAGGTGGAAACAGCAGTTCTGTCCAGCAACAGTTGAGAGACGTGGAACACATACAGTCATCACAGTCTGCGTTTGCTGCAATTCTCAAGAACGGCTCCGTGGTGACTTGGGGTGATGTTGACGGCGGCGGTGACAGCAGCGCTGTTCAAGGGCAGCTGAGAAATGTTCGGCATATCCAGTCCACCAGATTTGCTTTTGCAGCAATTCTCAGCGATGGTACTGTTGTGTCTTGGGGCAACGCTAGCCACGGTGGCGACTGCAGTGCTGTCCAAGCTCAATTGAAACATGTGCAGCATGTTCAGTCCTCCAACTCAGCCTTTGCCGCAACGCTTGATGATGGTTCTGTTGTGATTTGGGGCCATGCTGACAGCGGTGGCAATGAGCCTTCCAGCTCGGCCACGGCAAAGGCCAAAGCAAAGGCCACGGCCAAGGCCAAAGCCAAGGCCACAGCCAAGGCCAAAGCCAAGCCCAAGGCCAAAGCAAAGGCCACAGCCAAGGCCAAAGCAAAGGCCGCAGCCAAAGCGAAGGCCACAGCCAAGGCCAAAGCAAAGGCCAAAAGCAAGGCCTTGGCCAAAGCAAAGGCCGGCTCAGATGGCAGGCCCAAGAGCAGTAGAGTGCTGAAGCGCCCCGCGCGTTGAAATGTGGCGGGGCAGCAGACAGATGGAGACCGACAGGAAAAGAGGCCACGGCAAAATGCGCAAGTACCTCGCGAGGCAGTGACTAAACCAATGTGGGGCTGGTGCATGCATGGCTTCTGAAATAGGGTTCAAAGACGCTCCAAATTGCCCCAAACCCACTCTGCTGAGGACACAGGGGTCGCAGCAATGTCTTCCTGGTCGAGCCGGCAGCTCAGTTGTCTCCTTTGCGTGCTGATCGAGGCCTTCTTGGTTCGGGCACTTTGGTTTGGGAACCTACAGACAGCTCTCGAATCGTGGATTCTCACATGTCGTGACCCGCAAGTCTGCAATAGCTATATCACCCCTTCCGACCCTCGCACTTCATCTTTGCTCTACGTGTTTTCGAGCAAGCCACTTTCACAGCCGTGTCTCTCAGGATCGGCCACGAGCTGGCGATCCGCTACAACGCCACGACCCAAGCAACCATGAGCACTGAACCATCACCCCAAAACCCTAAACCCCAAAGCCCAAACCCTAAACCCCTTAACCCAAGAAGGGCAACAAAAAAGCAGAGATGTTTTACAAGAGAAAATCTTACTTTCTCCGCTTGCCCAAGGACATTGCCATCCTCGAGAACATGCACTGCAGCCTGCTGTTCCAGATTCTCTCACAGGAGGGTGCAAGGGGGTTGTAGACGCTAACCCTAAACCCTAAACCCTAAACCCTTTTAATATGAATAAGCAGAAGACGTCTGTGGCCTGTAGCCCTAGAGCCACAGATCAAACTGTATTCAAATGACTGTGATGGGCCAACCTACTCCAAAGACAGCGGCGGATCGTGAGCAATGGACCGAGCAAGTTAGGGTTTAGGGTTTAGGGTTTAGGGTTTAGGGTTTAGGGTTTAGGGTTTAGGGTTTAGGGTTTAGGGTTTAGGGTTTAGGGTTTAGGGTTTAGGGTTTAGGGTTTAGGGTTTAGGGTTTCGGGGCCCCTCATTGCCACGATGAGAAAATACACATTGGGATGTTCCCCCGCTTACACTACTTGTCCTAGCAGTCCTTAATGGGGATTATAATAGGCGGGGCTACTTTAATCCCTATGAAGGAGCTGTCAGTATAAAGCGGGAACATCCCAAAACACACATAAGCCCCCGAGTTGCAGGATCTCCCTAGAAAAAGGACCCCAAGAAGGTACCCCTACTAAACCCTAAACCCTAAACCCTAAACCCTAAATCCTAAACCCTAAACCCTAAACCCTAAACCCTAAACCCTAAACCCTAAACCCTAAACCCCGGGTATTCTCACGAAAAAAATAGCGCGACGCAGGAGAAGATGAACATCTTCTCGGAGCTCAGCGAGGCGCCGGATGGCAAGTTCTCCTTGAGAAGCAGACGGTTCTGCTTGAAGGAACCTTTTTTTACTGCAGGAACCCTAAACCCTAAACCCTAAACCCTAAACCCTAAACCCTAAACCCTAAACCCTAAACCCTAAACCCCAAACCCTAAACCCTAAACCTAAACCCTAAACCCGAAACCCTAAACCCTAAACCCTAAACCCTGTCTGGGGGGTGGTATTCCCAGGTGTGCTGTCTGGAGAGGTGCTTTCGGCTGATGATGGGGTTGCTGAAGCTACGCGGCCGAGTTCTTTAGAATGTCTGTGCCTTCCCATAGGGTGACTTCTCTAAAGTGCGGTCCCTCTTTGGGTGCCCTAAATAAGTAAAGAGTTTAGGGTTTAGGGTTTAGGGTTTAGGGTTCAGGGTTCAGGGTTCAGGGTTTAGAGGGGCCGCCTGACAATAGTGACCCAAATGGGGCCATGATTTAGAGAAATGACCATCTACTGCAGCCCCGGGAAGCTTCGCCTACATCTTGACGACCCAATCGAGCAGAACCCACACGCGGCTGTCGCTCCCAGCCTGTCTACAACCACATCCGGCACGTCATCGTTGATGCAATCCTTGCCACTGACTTTGCCGTGGTGCCGGCCTGTGATTTGCGTTGGGTACAGTTACCAGGTAGGCCCCTGGGATATATCTTCCCTTGTTGGGTTTAAGAGGATCATACTCAGGACTACTTTCAGAGGGTTTTAAGGGCCATCCCAGGGTTATTGTTGGCTGTTGCTTGCCTTGCTATCTCCCTTTCGGTGCGGGTTCGGCGCCCTCCCACCTTCGCCACCCCCCTCCACCATTCCTCCAACCGATCGTTTTTTTTATGCAACGGGCGTCACGATAATCTTTGTCGGTCAGTGCTCTGTCGAAACGCACATGGGTTAAGTTCTGTTAGTGTTCAGTCAGCTTTCTGGTAGAAGGGAGGAGGTGTGGCAGCATCACTGCAAACAGCATCCTGGCGTCGTTTGCAGATCACGGGTGTGGGGTTTGACGCCCGAAACACCACTTATTAGAGACCTAACTTATACAGTGGGTAATTCCCGTTTCTCAGACTAGTAGATGGAGATCGTGATTCAACAGCTTGCCCCTTACCCCTATGTAGTTGAGGTTTCAAGTTTTAAGTACCAGGCCTTCTGAGCCATAAGCCTAAGCGTGCAACCTAGGCACCGCCACACCATTCAAGCACCCGAGGTTAGAGAACGCATGAGACTGCACTAGGTGCTGCCAAACTCGTGAGTAAATCTTTCGCGACTCGGGAATCGTGGGCTGTGTAGACACCGCAGGATGTCGGTTTTTAGGATTTAATTCTTCAGGTTTTTGGATGGAAGCCCTAAACCCTAAAACCTAAGCCCTAAAACCCTAAGACCCTGAACCCTCAACCGCGGCGGCTTTCTGGGGCTTTGGAGGTGTTAGGGTAGAACTTACAGAAGTTCCAGAAGTGTCCCCAACCCCTAAACCCGAAACCCTAAACCCTAAACCCTGACGGGTCTGGGGCTGTCTGGGGAGCGGGGTGAAATTGGGGTTAGACACCAAATGGATTTAGGGTTTAGGGTTTAGGGTTTAATTAGGGCTTAGGGTTTAGGGTTTAGGATTTAGGGTCTAGGGTTTAGGGTTTAGGGAAGACTTGAATTTTCTCGGGGTTCCTTCGTAGGAGTCAAGTTTTCGAACCTTTCGGGATTCTTTCGCAAGAATCATCGAGTGTAAGGCTGTCGGGGAGGGAGGAAAGCAACCGGAAGCCGGAATCTCCCTATCCCTAAACCCTAAACCCTAAACCCTAAACCCTAAACCCTAGACCCTAAACCCTAAACCCTAAACCCGAAACCCTAAGCAAAAGAAGTTCTTCTGCTGCCAGCAACACACGAGCATGGTCAAGGACCGGTCCGTGGGCATCAGCCTTTTGAGCTTGGCGTTTAAGCCCTAAACCCTAAACCCTAAACCCTAAACCCTAAACCCTAAACCCTAGGGGCTTTGGGAGTTGAAGCTAAGGTTTCAGTGCTTATCGCGAGTCGAGCTTTTGCGGATTGGAGGAGAGGTAAGTCTCCAGATCCCTAGAATTCACCAAGACACCTCCCAAGTCTCAAGGGGTCGCAGGTCTTACGAGGTGGGTGACTCAGGGTTTGGAATTTCTGAAGTCGTGGAGTTTGCGGGGTTTAAGTTTAGTTGGGGGATTGAGGGGTTTCGGGACTTGGGGATTCAGGTCGTCTTGGTGTTTGGGGTTACAGTATGTGTGGGTTTAGGGAGGTTCAGATTCAGACAGTATGCGGAGCAGCAGCAGACACAGGAGTTCGAGTCTATGTACGGTGTGAACGCGGAGCTCTTTGATACGGCGGATGAGATGCAGCGCGCTTAGTTTCATCGGTGGATAACATACAGCTCGCCATGCCCCCAGTGCAAAAACCAATGCTGAACCCCAAAGCCACACTTCTGGGCTTGCGATTTAGGATCTCGTTGTGGACGTGGTTCCCTTAATTCGCCATTCGTAGGGGTCCGAGAGCGGAGGATTGAACGTGCAGGTACATGTCCATGGACGAGTTCCCTCCCAATGAGCTCCTCGAGTACTTCAAGACACCCGATGTGAAGAAGAGCTTGAGGACGGAACCCTAACCCTAAACCCTAAACCCTAAACCCTGAACCACCGGGCTTGGGGTTTGGATTTTGGGTTGCCGGGCCTAGTGTTTCTGGGTAATGACTTGAAATGCCCATGACTAGCCGCAAAGCCTTGCTCGGAATCCCTAAAAACGCCTATTTTCTCTGCGAAACCTTATGTTGCAAATACCCTGCTCAGACCCTTCGGAATCAGCGCATCTGCAGGACCGTCTTGCTCCACTTCAGCGACATCTCGAACCCCATGAAGTCGGGTCCCGTATGAAGTTCGGGGGGGGGGGGTGGGGGGGGGCGGGCTTGGGGTGGACGATGTTTTCATAGGCCCAGAGGTTCCATCAGAGGGTGATCTGGGGCCGTAGGGTCACAAGGTCTTGGTTTTGGTTTCATGCGGCTTTGCGAAAACCGCATATGACGAATATGCCTACAGTCACAATTGAAGTCTTTATCCCACAAGAATCTTGCCTCGCGCAGCAAGAGAACCTGCCTTCAGAATGCCCCTCCAAGATTCAGTTTTAAAGGGCTTTGCGTTTTGAGGGAACCTCCGCCTCAGCCCCGGATCCCTAAATCCCAAGCCTTCCAACCCCCCGCATCATAAAGGGGTTGTGCTTCAAAGTGTTGCAAAGGACTTTGGGGATGCCCCCACCCCCCTTTGCGTCGCGACATGAGGAGGGCTCCACAAGTCAAGTGCAACGCTGCAGTCCAGCGTCTGGCAAAACAGGGAGATGGAAAACTACTACTACTTCAGGCGTCGACATGTCTAAGATGGCAGTAATCGTCGTGTGCTCTTCTTCCATGGCTTTCTACAGGCCCCTCCTGGCATCTCGCGGCCGATGGATGCCTTAAACGAAATCTTGAGGCCAATGGAATGTTGGCCCCTTTTCAAGGGCTACAGCTCGAACATGGGTTGCCTTCCATCTCAGACTCCAAGACCTCCATCAGGGCTCGTGCAATTTTCAACGGGCACAAGCTCATGGCAGAGTACCCCCCAACAGAGTGCGTCCCTGCCCATGTGCGTCAGAGTATGTTGTCAGCATGCTGTATGTTGTGCCCGGCCCTCTTCAGAAGAGATACGCTCACACTCCTGCAAGTCTAAGTCATCACGCTATTCTTTCACCGCCTTCAGGCCCCCGAATGCTTGACAGCTGTAGAGCCCAAATTCTGCAAAAAATGATATCTCGCAGAGCCGGCCCCTCGGCGGCTCGAGCGTTCGCCGTCTTGGAAGTGTTGAGGGGTATACTTAAGACAAGTTTTGGGGGATTCCCCAAACGTACTTATCGACTACGAACCCTTATGTTTGTGAGGGGCTCTGCATGGAAGGGATTAGATCTTGACCTGTCTTATCAGGCCCAAAGCAACCCTGAACCGGATACCCGAAACCCTACAATAAACTCTAAAAAAACCCTAAACCCTAAACCCTAAACCCTAAACCCCAAGTAAGCCCCATCCCTGGGCCGATCCCCAGGCCCTTCCCCGTTGCGGAGAAGTGGGCGGGCCTTGTGCTGGAGGAGTTCGCGCTGCAGGGCGACGAGGAGAAGGCGAGCGATTTAGGGTATGGGGTTTAGGGTCTTTAGGGTTAGGGTTTAGGGTTTAGGGTTTAGGGTTTAGGGTTTAGGGTTTAGGGTTTAGGGTTTAGGGTTTAGGGTTTAGGGTTTAGGGTTTAAATTTAGGGTTTAGAGTTTAGGGTTTAGGGTTTAGGGTTTAGGGTTTTGAGCTTTATGGGTTTGGGGTTCTTAGGGGTGTGCCTTGGGTTGACATTGAGGATTCCAGGGCCTGCAAGGCATCTTGGCATAGGGACGTGCAGCGGAAAGATTCGGGAAGGTCAGGGTCTAGCAGCCGGAGTAGGCCCTTATTCCCTTGTTTTTTGGGTTTAGGGTCCCTTATACGCCCCATTAGAGCAAAAAGGGCACCCTGTTTGTTCCTAGCTTACTCTTGGGTCTAGGGGTCCCCTGTTTCTGCACTTGTTACATCAACATCAGAGGGGCCCTAATTCGGGGCGACGGAGGCTCAAGACGAAGCCGAGAGAGAGGCACTGGATACAACTCCGAAAACTCGAGGTCCCTGTTTGGGGGATCCTTTTGAGGAGATCTTTTTGTATTTCGGATTGGGAGGGGGGTATAGACCCAAATATTTAACAAAACTCCCATACGGCTAAGAATGGAAGCGCAAGTGTCTAACCCTCCATGCACACCCTAAACCCAAGATGCAGCCCTAAACCCTAAACCCTAAACCCTAAATCTAACAGAAAACGACGTCATGGGGGCCTGCGTTTCGGGCCTCCATGACGTTGCGTACTCAAACCTAAACCTTTAACCTTAAACCCCAAACCCTACCAGGCCTTGGGTATACCAGTCGGGCCGCTGAATGACAGAGACACGGTGAACATGCCTCTCTCCCAGGCTGAGGGCGGCAGAACTGTGTTCACGGCTGTGGGTTTCTTTGGGGGGGGGTGGGGGGCTTAGGGTTGAAGGGTTTAGGGTGAGGGCTGAGGCCTGAGGGTTGAGGGGTGAGGGGTATTTGGGTATTTGGGTATTTGGGTATTTGGGGTGTGCCAGGGGGGGCGGGGGGGCGGCCCACATTAGAGAAGCACATGCGACCCGGAAGGCTGGGAGTTAAGTCGGGTTCGGGTAGCTTGGAGGCGGCGAGGGGTTTGTTTGCTGGGTTTAGGCTTTGGGACTGCACGGGGGGATCAGGGTTTTGAGACGGACACGGGTTCAAGATGGTCGGAGGGCTTTGGTAGTTAAGGACCAAGCTTAGAGGTTCTGACGTCCTTTGAGAAGGCAGGGCGGTGTGTCAACAGCCCTAGCTACAGGGACGAGCGGCTAAGATGGGCCGCTGGCCATTGCAGGAGAGTGCGGCCAGGTAAGGTTTAGGGTTTGGGGTTTGGGGTTTAGGGTTTAGGGTGTTCAGGATTTAGGGTTTAGGGCTACCATGGGCCTGTTACTCACAGCTGTGGCACTACATCACTACATGAGGATGCTCAGATGGACTCGCTCGGGTCGAGACGCTTTGCCTGCGCTGCGAAATTTATTTGACCCTAGACTTTGGTTCCCCAATCCTTGAAGTCCTAAGCTCTCTCTCTCTCTCTCTCTATATATATATATATACATATTCCAACCCTCAACACGCAAGCTCCAATGCCAAGAAATTACACTTTCTGCCGGGCTTCACCAGAAGGCCGAGACGCACGCGGAGCTTGCATGAAATCCGCGCTGCGTCGGCTCAGGGAGGTAGCCCTAAGTCCTAAGCCGCCCCCCAGGGCTTCCCTAAACCCTAAACCCTAAACCCTAAACCCTAAACCCTAAACCCTAAACCCTAAACCCTAAACCCTAAACCCTAAACCTGTGAGCAGAAGGCCAGGAGATAAAAGCCAAAGCCACGGTCTTGACTTTGGATCCCACCCTACTCTAGAGGTCGGAATAGTTGCTAATAATATTCCCTTGTGGTCCCTATGTAATTATACTAGAATAACCCCCCCAAGATGATGATCATTATATTTATGAATTATTCTGATTTTTACATTATTATTTACTATATTATCAGTATTATTATTATTATGATTCTTATTATGATTATCATTATTGTTGTTATTTTATTCCTAATACTAATTCGTATTTATTATTATTGTTGTTGTTATTATGTGTTTTTTAGTATTATTACTATTGCTATTTTGATTATTGTGATTAAGGCCCCTGCATGACACCCTCTGACTGGCAGATCGGCTTCATCGAGTTCGTTGTGGCACCGCTGGCCTTGTCACTGGCTGCTTTCTCAGATACTCCAAGTCTTCGGTCCATCGAGGGGTTTAGGGTTTAGGGTTTAGGGTTTAGGGTTTAGGGTTTGGGTTTAGGGACATTGGTGCTTTCAGAAATTAGGGGTAGCTTATTGGGGTCCTGATAATCAGGGAATCTGCTACGTGGGGTCAATATTAGGGGTCACTATTTTCGTAAAGCCCCAGATATAGATAGGATGTATTAAAGATCTAGTTGTAGAGATGTGCAAGGTCAGCGTTCCCTTTTTGAGGGTGCTTAGATCCCGAGCTTCTGGGTGTCCGGGCCCTCACTCACAGACCCGAGAGCCAGACTTGCTTTGAAGGCTTTAGGGGGAGACCCTAATAGCCTCCATCAGCCGCCCCAGACTAACACAGTGACTCTGCAGCTACCCTCGGGCCAGTACGTCACTCCCAGGCCCGCATCCTGCCACCCTTGTGGTTCAGCAACCAGATGATTCTGGTGCGCCGCGGGGAAGGGGGGGGGAGGGGGGAGGGTGGGGGGGGGAGGGGGGGGGGGGGTATTTTTTCTTCTGTTTTTTTGAGTTCCCCTGGCTCCCATCCTGAGGATGTTGAAGTCTGTTGTCGTCAATTCTGCCAAAAGAACGTTGTGAAAGCACCCTCATAAAATGAGGTGCAAAGGGGGGGGTTAGAGTCAAGGCCAGTTGAGGGCTTCGGGTGTTGGGCCCAGGGTTCATATAGGTGGTTGCCTGCCTGAAGGACAACGCCAACATCTGGATGGACAAGTGGCGTGGCAGTGCAGTGGCTTTTTCCTTCAGACCTGAGCCTTCCAGCATGGAGCTGTAAACCCTACGCATCCCGGGATGCACGTGATTCCAATATTCGGGAGCTTTTTAAGAAATATTCTCAGGTGGATCGAGGGAACCCTGTTGAAGCCGAGCTTGGAGGAGCAGGCCGGTGTTTAGAACTGGGCACTCAGGGATCTCTGGGTGTCGGCCCCGAAAAAGTGAGAAGCTGGCGCCCCAAGTGTGTTGCGAGGGTCTCATGCTTGTGCCCCCTGCGCCCCACCTCCGTCCCTCCCCCCCCCCACCCGCGGGCCTCCTCCCTCCTTCCCCTGCTGCGTTTGTTCCGCTTGAAGGGCCGCCTCCGGCCCAAAATCACAGACCCTGCAAGTCCGAACTACCGCCCACTGCAGGAGCAAGCAACACAGTGCCTTCATTGAAAATATTGTGGTATGGCTTGAGGGTTCGAGGTCCTTTGGTTCGATTGTTGACTTTAAAGGTTTCATGACACCTGAGTTCAATGAAGCCTTTTGATGCTTTGAGAGGCCCTTTGTTCAAGCACTGTAAAGCCTTTGACACACCCTATGAAAATCCCTATTGAGGACTCTTAGAAGAAGGGTCCCAAGCTCTAAGCTCTGTGCAGGTCAACGTCCGCGAGCGGATTCACCGGATGGTGCAGAAGACCGAGCAGCGGGGCTATACGGCGACGATGACGGCACCGCGATGGCGAGCAAGTGGAGAGCAAAAACACACCTAAACCCTAAACCCTAAACCCCAAACCCTAAACCCCCTTTTCACCCCAAAAAGCCAGGAATGGGGATGCGCTTGCTGCCCACGGTTGCAGTATCTCAGGAATCTAAGCCTGACCTTGCACATGAGAAGCCCTGTGCCCTGCTCCAGCTCAGGCACTGGCCCCACCAACGTGAGAACCGTGGCGCAGGGACTCCGCGCATTGTGAGCGCGCCGACCACCTACAAGCCCCCAAAGCCCTAAAGCCAGCCTACCAAGCCCATAAACCCTACAGAAACCCTACAGAAACCCCACATAAGCCGACAAGCTTTAGGGTTTAGGGTTTAGGGTTTAGGGTGACTCCCTTTGAAAACGGCTCTGGGCCTTGATTTGACCTCCGATCGGAGCCTTTGCCAGGGCTGTGGCCTTGCGCCGAATCCCTACACCCCGCAGAGTTGCTGTTTAGGGTTTAGGGTTGTTAGGGTTGTTAGGGTTTTTAGGGGTTTGTAGGGGTTTTTAGGGGTTTGTAGGGGTTTTTAGGGTTTTTAGGGCTTGAGGGTTTTAAGGGTTTTTAGTGCTTTCAGGGTGTAGGGTGTTCAGCAGCAAACGTTTTGTACTTTTCCTCTTGGCTTCTGGGTTCCGACGATGATACTACTGGCACTCGTGCAACCTACTTTCGACCATGTGGCCACTTAACAACATAGCGCTTGGGAAGCTGAGGGGGTCAGGAGGGGCTAGGGTTTAGGTTTAGGGTTTAGGGTTTCGGGTTTAGGGTGTAGGGTTTCGTGTTAAATGGATTTATAAGGTTTAGCAAGCCCAAGGCCGAAAGTTTCCTTGAGAGGTGTCGATTTTGGGGCATGATGGGCACCCTGCTGAACCCCAAGTCTTCCACCTGAAGTCCTAAGCTCCAACTCAGCGTAGGCCCTTATTTTCTTGCTTTAGGGTTTAGGTTCCCTTATACAACCACCTTTGAACCAAGAAAGGGCGCCAATTTTCATTCCTAGGATACTCTTGGGGCCTAGCAACCCTAAGGAACCAGCGCCACAGCCTTGGCTTCTTCTTTGCGTTTTTTTTTTCGCTTGTGCATCTTGGATTCCGAAGGGTTGTTCTCCGGGGCAACTTCACGAACTTTGAGAACACATTCTCACTTTGGGATGTTCCCCATGGTACTAACCGTCCCTAAGAGGGTGATTATGGTAGCCCCCTATTAGAATCCCTATTCAGGACTGTGAGTATAAGGGGGAACATCCCAATTCTCACTAGTGGTTTGTGGTTTGTTTCCCCTTAATGGCAGAGACGTACTTCTCGACCATATTCTTGTTGTCGAATCGTTATCATTGCTATCACTAGACTTATGAGTAGTATTCTGATTCTTATTTCTATTATTATTCTCATTCTTGTTCGTATTCTTATCCTTATCCTTATCCTTATCCTTATCCTTATTCTTATTCTTATTCTCATTCTTATTCTTATTCTTATTCTTAGTACTATCATTATTGCAATGACCATGATTCTTGTTTGTCCTAATCATTGTGAACGCTGCGCGTCGGCCCCTCGGCCCGGGCCGACGCACAGAGGAGTTGAGCGTCGAGGGTTCCATTTGCTGGGATGCCTGCCGGGAGGGATATTGTTCGCGTGTGCTTGTAGGTCCTATTGAAAGCCCAACAGAGTTCCGAAGAAGTCCCTGAGAAAGCAGTTGTGGGGTCCTCCCACAACTGACAAGTTGTGCTTAGAAACCTCCAGCGGCTGTGGGTTGAGGCTAGGCAAGGTAGGTGCAAGTGTAAGTTTTACTTTAGGGGTTTTCTAGAATCCCGTTCCGGGACTTTAATCTTCAAAACTTACACCGATGATGGGCTGCGCATGTTGGGTCTTCCCTTGCTTGGCGTCAAGATCTCTGGGAGGCTTAGATACCATGCCATAGTGACTCCAAGAGGCTCACAAGCTGTTGCCAGTATGGCCTCAAGAAGAGGCGCAGATTCCTGGGAATGTCTCCAAGGCAGGGGTTTAGGGTTTAGGGTTTAGGGTTTAGGGTTTAGGGTTTAGGGTTTAGGGTTCAGGGTTTAGGGTTTAGGGTTTAGGGTTTAGCGTAGGGTTTACACCTCCCAAGCCCCTTGGGGAAGGCCCTGCCTGAAGGACGGATCACCTATGACTCAGAGCGGGCCTAAGTTAGCTCTTGGGGCTCAGGTCTCTACGGTATATGGGCGTTTGGATTCGTAGATCGTTTTGGTTTTGGGAGCACGGGCGATCCGCCGGTTTAGATTTTTTTCAACATCCCGGCGTTCAGCACTGCGGGGGCTTCTGGGCAACCAGGCTGCATTGCCCAAAGCGAGACAGAGAGTTAAGGCTGAAGCCCCACAAGCTCGAGCTCGTCTAAGCCAGACAAGCCGCCCAGCGCAACCAGCCGCGTCGCAACTCGAAGAGTTGAGATTTTGCGTTGCTCGGGTAATCGGCAGCTCTCGGCCAGACGACTGGGGGGGGGGCAAAGGCGGCAAAGTTAAATGCCCCTTCCCGTGCAGCCCAAGGCTTCAGGGCTCTCTGGGGGGTTTAGGGTTTAGGGTTTAGGATTTAGGGTTTAGGGTTTAGGGTTTAGGGTTTAGGGTTTCTGGGCTTAGGGAGCTTAAGTCTTGGGTCCTTGGTGCTTAGTTTGTTTTTGCAGGGCTCCCTTACAAACGCATGTCTAAGCGTGCTTTGGTGGGGTCATGCGGATGTGAAATCCTTTTCTGGCCTTATAACTTTGGGTTTAGGGTTTGGGGTCTAGGGATTAGGGGTTTTGGGTTTAATTAGGTTTTAGGGATAGGGCTGGAATTTTCTGCGAGGCGCCCCTCACTCCTTTTCCCAAGATGGTGGGAATTTCCTGACATGAGAGCATGTCTCAGTGTAGAAACGCCCTCTATTCTCGGATAAACCCTAAACCCTAAACCCTAAACCCTAACTAAACCCTACACCCTAAACCCTAAGCCCTAAACCCTAAAACCCCTAAACCCTGCAGGCCATCGATCTTAGAGCCCCTTATGAGTCTTAAAGGTCTCAGGGCAGGCACCCAGTCACAGCTGAAGCAATGCCCTGACAAGCTTTGTGACCGTCCGGTCTGTGTACGCCGTCCAAAACAAAGTGGGCATTTCCGAAAATAGGGGTACCCCGAATATACCCCCCGCAAATACTATGATCCTGATTATGGGAACCCCCCAAAAAGGGTACCCCTATTTTCGGAAACCCCCAAGTGCATGATCACTATAGGTTCCCCGTTTGGGGATTTAGCGTGCGTGGGGGCCGAAAGAATCCTTAGTTCAATGCCCCTCAACACGGAAAAGCTTGGAACCCTAAAGGCCTTCGGACTGCTCGAGCGCTTCGGAAACTGAAGGGGGTTTGGGTTATGTGGGTTGGAGGTCTCTTGAGTAGGGTTTCTGTTTTATAGGGGCCTCATATTCGGGATTCTTTTTAGGGTATCTAGGGCCCATGTTAAGGAATGAGGGTAACAGTTAAAGATTAACTTCAAGCCCTGAAGCCACGCCCAACCCAGGCCAAAGGAGGCATCGATAGGTTTAGGGTTTAGCGTTTAGGGTTTAGGGTTCAGGGTGTAGGGCTTTAGGGTTTAGGGCTTTAAGGTTTAGGACTTAGGGTTTAGGGCTTTAGGGTTTAGGGTTTATGGTTTAGCCACAAAAAGACTCCCAGGACCATAGCCCTGAAGCCTGTCCCAAACCACCTTCGAAGCCCTTGAAGCCCTGCTTAAGACTTGATTCCAGAGCGCCTCGTCCTCGAGTCATCATCGCCTCTGTCTGACCCAAATCTTTTGCTCAAAAAACGATAGGGGACTTGTCTGCACTGGCAGAGCTGGCAGAGCTGGCAGAGCTCTCTCACATTAGGCAAGGAAGTGCAGACAGCCCCTTAGCCTGCAACTCAGGTCTATGGCAAGCTGACTGTTAGGCTATAGCATGCCAAAGAAAGTATGCAGGTAGAAACGAAGATCATCCCAGTACACCCGTTGCCATGTCCGCGGAGACAGACACCAGCCTGGTCCCTGAAAGTGAAGTGTCCCAGGACAGCATCTGCGAAACCTTGGCAGCATGGGCCGATACCACAAAGCCCTGTTGGCAGCACATCCTCGAGATTGAAATGGAGACCGACAGCAACCTGAAAAGCGATGTCTACCTCATACCAATGGCCGAGATCCCTGCAACAAGTGGCACTGAGATGACAGAGGGTGTGCTCGGCGAAGCCGAAGGCAAGGAGTTGACCGTGGAGGCACTTTCTGGCGAGGTGACACATCTGACAGTGCTGGCGCCTCACACGGTGGCGCATGTGAAGCAGATGCTGGAAGCATGCCTGGGCATCCCGGCAGTCTTGCAAAAGATCATCCTAGATTCAGTGGAGCTGCCAGATGAGGCGGTGGTGGCAGGAGGTTCAGTGACGCTCCTGAAGAGCGATCCGCCGATCATCACCTCGGAAGACTTCCTGCGCAGCATGGCGGAGGTGCACGGCTGGGAGCGGAAGGACGTCTTCAGACGATGGCATAGCTTCGACACGTACCGACAGTTCCCGGCAACCAAAATGCAGACGTTGCAGTGGGCGATGGGCCACAAGGGGATGAGGAACGTACCCTTAACGGCGGAAAATGTGTTGGGATGCTTCGATGTCTGGCTTGGCCTCAATCACAAGGAAGGCACGCATCCCGACAGCTTCAGAGCGCACGTGAACGAGGTGGTCGCGTTCTTGCAGCACTGTTGCTACAGCCCGTCCCTGCTGGTGGCCTATGACGTGCCTTGATTCTGGATCTGTGGTGAATGTACTTTGTACTCTGCTTTAGTATGGCATTGACCGTTGGTTTATACTACCAGTATAGCATAGCGTAGCAGGGCATAGCTCCGAAAAGCATGGTATAGTTTAGCAACGGCAACAGCAACAGCAACTAACAAGGTACAGCATAGTTCTAGTCCAGTCCAGTCCAGTCTAGTAAGTCTAGTATAGCACACTTTGCTACAGCAAAGCATTCAATAGCAGCAGAATAAACTTGCGACGCTGCTGGAATGTTGTTCGGATGAGTCTTCTCCTGCATAGACAAGTGCAAGAGATGCAGGTGTCTAGGATTTAGGGTATGCTGTGGTAGTACAATCATGCAGTGCACAACAGTGTTTAACTCTGCATCCAAAAGACGTTGTGGCATACTTAGACCAGAACTGGTCCAGGGTACCGCTTTTGTGCTGCGTTTTTTGACAACCACCACCTTTTCCCGAGTAAATAAATCTTCAGGAGCCTTATTTGCACGACGACGATGCGGAGTTCGTCTTCTTCTTTGCCGGCAGACTACGCAGTGACCTGCAAACCTTTGTGGTACACAGCTTCCTCTTGAACTGCTGGATGTAGCGCCTTGCAAGAACAAGTCAGGTTCTCGTAAAGTAGATGCGCTTTGGGGCTGCAGACATGTAAACGTTCCTCAATCTCTTGGTGCCCCAGTGGAGCTGCTTCGGCGTTTCAGTGCTGGGCGCTCTAGATGTAGGACACCACTTCACCTCCTAGATTCCCTTCTGTCCTAAACACTCTGTCACTCCTCTGAGGGTTTGCTTGAACCTAAACTCGGAAGCAAACCCGGACTCCTTGAGGTGGACGCAACCTACACACTTTACCGAATCATCAGCCTCATCGTTGCGGACGGGGTGTTGTGATAGAGGTTTGGGGCATCAGAGTGGCAAGCCCCTAACCTAGAGGTCCTCTTCAGCAGTGTTCACAACCCCATAGCTGCCCGCGAAGCTTCAAGTAAAACTCTCTTGGTTGAGGAGCTCAGGTTTTGAAACCCTAAGCCCTAAACCCTAAACCCTAAACCGTTGAGGAGTTCAGGTTTTGAAGAGCTGCAAGGAGGGGTTCGGTCAGGACTTTATAACGTCTAAGATTGGCTGAAAGGCCTTGAAGAAAGAAAGGCCAGTTAGGGTGCCCTAAACCTTTAACTTCCCAAGCCCCTAAACCCGAAACCCGATACCCGAAACCCCGAACCGTATTTTCGTGAACCCCATTTTGGGTTTTGGCATCTTAGGGTGGAGGGTTGTGGCAGCAGGGTTCATGGAGGGCTCAGATCCCTGAACCGCCAGACCCAACCCCCCCAAAATCTCTCCCAAAAACCGGGATCAGGGTTTAGGGCTCAGGGTTAGGATTCGGGTTTAGGTCCCAAAATAGTCGGATTCCGGAATAAGGACCCCAATGAGGGACCCCTAATCTCGGAAACCCCCAAATCGTCTTTTTTGGGGCTGCCCTATTTTGAGTGAGACGAAGCAGGCTACCAGCTGCTTAGGAACCCATGTTAGTGCTACACCAGCACCGCTAGGAGCAGTACCTGGGTCATCTGGAAAGCCGCTGCCCTAGCTGGTGCCGCCTGATACAGGGACCCCAAAGGCGATCCTTATTTCGAGAACTACCCATAACATGGGGCGTGTCTCCCCCTGTAAAAGAGGGCCCAGCAGACAGAGCCCGCAAGCTTCGCACCCGAAAAGTCGTCAACAAACCGGCTTATGAGATCCGCCTCCCCCGGTCGTTCGCCCTCAATCCTTCAATACTATCAACAGTGATAAGGATAGAAAGTATAGGAATGTACTCATGACAACAGACTACGGAAACCAAGAACCTCCCCTTGTTTCGGACAGCTCATCAGGTTTGAATCACATGAAACAAGCCCCCCCCCCCCCCCCCCGAAGCCCTGAAATAATCATCGGACCAAGGTTCTGCATACATTTGGTCTAATTGCAGGAAGCATGCGTGCGATGAGCCAGACGAAGGAAATCGCAGTGTCAGAAAGTGCTGCCGCTTCGGAAAGTAAGTCCCGAAAGTAGCCGTGTCGAATCTGAGACTGAGACTGTTTCGAATAAGGTAACAAAGGACGAAACGAGGTTTCGGGTTTAGGGTTTAGGGTATCAGAACCTTCTAGCCTCAACACCAAGGAAGCGACAACAAGTAGATTCACTCCCAAGCAAGCCTCTAACACAGGAATCCTCAATCCTGAAGTCCTAAACCACTGTAATCCCCCTAAGAATGCCTGAGCTCCCTCAAACACCAGAAAAACAACAGCCTAAGCACCAAAATCCCCTCGAAAGTCCCAACCCCCCCACAACCCCAATAAAGCACGAGAAGCCTCCCCGAGCGAACCAGGCTTTGGCATACTGGCGGCGGCCATCGCCGGGACGGCACCCGCCAGCGGCCACTTGCCAGATTTTCTTCACAGAGGTGTCGAGGGGGGACCCCTCAGATTGCGCACAAAGGCGCCTCACGAGCACTGCACGTCGAGGTCTGAGTCGACGTGTCAGGCCAAGCCCAGCACCCTGCAAAGCAGACCGTACAGTAGCAGCTCCTCGTGTCCAGACGAGAGCGGGTCTGAGGGTGTAGATCCTGCCATCCCAGTAGTTTATGAGTCACTGAACCCGAGCCGCGGTAAATTGTGATTTTGTGAGATTGAGGTGCTTGGAATTCGCGATGCAAGTCGGTTCCCCCTTCGACCCTTCCCTGACGACACTGGATGAAACGGTTCCCTGAAAGTTTAGGAATGTGCAGGGCATGCATAGGGCAGAGGGGCTAACAGGGGGCCCTAAACCCTTGACCACATTCCCTGGCAAGCCAACACTGCGCTCATGATCTTTCTGGCTCCCACCCAGTCGGCTCAAGATCGGAAGGCCTTTTCCACAGCCAGGCTTAGATATCCGGCGCTAGTGCTATCAGAGCTGTTGGCACCCCATTTGGGTTTCAGAGCAGACACATTGCACATAACTTCAGGCTCAAGATCCGGTATAAGCCTCCGAACTCCAATCCTGAAAACCCCCAAACCCCATACACCTCAAACCCTACAAGCCCCAAGCCCGTGGACCGCTTTGCCCTCGGCCGCGTCCGCTGCCGGGCCAAGCGAGGCGGACTCTCCTATAAGAAAGGTGACATGCAGTTGCGTTGACTCTTGAGGGCATAAGGTTCACGAAGACAATCTATGTGGATCCGAAGGGTTGATGAGGCTGTACTGCACTTATATACAGACACACCGACACACACACACACACACACACACACAGCTGCCTCTACTCCTACACCTACTTCTACACCCACACCTACACCTAAGCTCCTTCAATAGGCTACACCACACAGCCAGTTTGAGAGTTCGAGTGTTGCGGGTCCTCAGCGAGGTGTTGCCAGACGCCAAGGCCGGGAGACGTTGGGGTTCAGAGGTTTAGAAGGCTCAGACGTGTTCAAGGGCTGCTGCATCGCGGGATGTTCAAGATCTCAGGGTTCTGGCTGAGTGATATTTACGTTTTGGGGCGTCGTGGGCTTTGGGCGCAAGCGTTTGAGGCAAAGCGCCTTGGAGTTTCGGGCTGTGGTAGCATCCCTTGGGCCCCCTATAAGCCCGGAGCCGAACTTGAACAAACACAAACCTAGGCAGCGCCGCACAGCTCGGTAGGCCCTTGGGACATTTTATATTTTCCCTTATTGAAAAATTGGGTTCAAGAGGATCATATTCAGGAAAGCCTTTCAGAGGGGTTTAAAGGCCATCCGAGAGAAGTACTGAGCCCACCCCCCTCATCTTGCCATCGGACGTGGCGTAATCTGGGGGGGGGGCTTACGAAAAATAGCCCCAAGTAGTAGGATCCCCCTTATGGTGTGGGCCCCAATAAGGTACCCCGAATTTCGGAAACCCCCATGTCATCGACGCATGGTGTTGGAGGGGTTGCTGAAGGTGGCGCTCCCACCACGGATCGACCTCGTTTCGCTTCGCACCTTCCAAGGCGCTCTAACCCTAAACCCTAAACCCTAAACCCTAAACCCTAAACCCTAAACCCTAAACCCTTCAGACCCGTTTATAGGGCGGCTTCTTTCCTGGGGGATCCCGAGAACCTCAGGTTCCCAGCTGGGACCCTCACACTGAGACCTGTGTAAAGCCTCCCTGGCCACCCCCAACCATTCCGCATCATTCCTCACAGCAACCTGTTAGTAGCAAAGTCACTCTAGTCCATGTGTAGCAGAACTTAACTCTGACCCTACAAACTCCAAGCCCCAAAACCCTGTGTGAGCCCTAAACTCCAAACCCTGGAACCCGAAACCCTTTGTAAACCCGAAACCTCAGACCCTATATAACCCCTCCAGAAACCCGAAACCCCAAACCCTCAACCCTGAGCGCTAAACCCTAAACCCCAAACCCTCAACCCTAAGCCCTCCACAAACCCCTACGCCCTCAGCTCCAGTCGGCAGTAGTCTTCTACGCGCATAAAAAACTACTGTTAACCTTAAACCCTCCATAAACCCTGAACCCTGAACCCTAAACCCTAAACCCTAAACCCTAAACCCTAAACCCCAAGAGCCCTCAGCTCCAGTTGGCGGCTACGACCTGGCTCGCCAGCCTCCGCGGCGCGCAGCCCAGGGAGCTGCAGAGGCCCAGTCAGTGTTTAGGGTTTAGGGTTTAGGGTTTAGGGTTTAGGGTTTAGGGTTTGGGGTTTAGGGTTTAGGGTTTAGGGTTTAGGGTTTAGGGTTTAGGGTTTAGGTTTAAGAGGAACCTTCATCAGAAGACTACCGTTTCAACAGTAACAGTTATGAGAAGAGGAGTCGTCACATAAGATTAATCTTCACAGGAAGAGAAGGAATACATCGACAATCAGAAAGGAAGAGGAATTGCACTTGCAACTGTAATAGTTAGAAATGATAGCACTGCTGTTGGTGATAGCGACGACGATCAGATGACGATGACGACGGCGATGACGATGCTGATCATGATCTGAAGACTTTAGTTTACCATCCGCGGAGGGCGGCCAACCTGGAATCCCATCGGAGGTAGCATGAGGAGTGCGTTTCAATTCCGCTTCAACGACTGCTACTTGCAATGGTTTGAAATACCAGCCCTCCAAGGTCTAGGGCCGGGGGTGCGGAAGGTTATTCCAGAAGCCGCCACCAACACCCTCAACCTGGAAGCCTAAAAGCGACCCCAGAGCTCAACCCTGACGCCTCAACCCTGGTCCGAGCAGGTTAGGGAGACGAAGCTGGTGAGATACGCGCGCGCGCGCGCGCGCGCGTGTGTGTGTGTGTGGGTTGGCTGGTTGGTTGCTTGGTTGGTTGGTTGGTTGGTTGGTTGGTTGGTTGGTTGTTTAAGCCTCGGTTGCTGTAACAGCGCCCTTAAACCCCGATCTGCCCAAATCCTCTGCCCCAAAACTGAAGCCGCCTAAACCCTTACACTGCTGACCCCATAAGCTGCCCCCTCCCATCTCTGACATGCGAGGCGATGGGGGTCCAGCAGTCCTTACAGGGACAGGCCGGTGGGCTTGCCTCTCTGCTGACGTTTTGGAAGGTTTGGGATCATCTTACGTATTTGGGTTCGAGGGTTTGGGGTTGAGGGTCTAGGTACCAAGGGTGTG